TTATGTCTAATAATTATGGTGTTGATGTAATATATCATATTTATGTAGAAACAATAAAGTACATTCAGTGCATCATTTTTTCAGGGCTGGAACTCCAGCTAAAGACAACATGGCATGCCGATGATGCAAGAGGATTTGGGAGAGATAAAGAGAGCGTGACAATCTCCTTAAGCCGAACCGTGTGTGTGTGTGTGTGTGTGTAGTTCCCATTGACCTCCTGTAATCTAGTGCTGTAAACCTACACACACATGCACACACATACATGTATTTTTTCTCTCTCTCTGGACACATTTCTATGAAAGTTCTGATCAGATTGAGGCACATGCTGCTTCTGAATTGTTTTTTTTTTTTTGCACTTGCAGATTTGTTCACCACCCACAGTGCTCACCACATGCATTATCTAAATCCACAGTATGCAATGTAAAATACAGACGAGGTGACATATCAAAGGAAAAACCTGCATAAATGAGTGGAGACACATAACAAGTACTTACAGTCAGGTGTACTGTATGATACAGTTAAGCAATGAACATCCTACCACGCTCTGTGGAATGTATAAAAATGCTGGTATGGTTTAGGACAACTTGTCCCCTTACAGCAGGGGTCAGCAACATGCACCTGTTCTAACACAGTTTTAACAATAAATGGTCCTAAACGCTGGAGTTAATGTAGCCTATAAATGCTAATTCAACCTTTAACCCTGAAGTTTGGCATGCAGGCTGCTGGTCACCATAGCAACACAGACAACAGTCTCGCCTAGCTTGTAGCTAACGAAAAGACAAAGAGAGAGATTTAAGACGAATATCGATAATTTAGAGACGAATAGACTTATTTGTATTTATAAGCACTCAGCTGGTTTCCTGATACGTTTAATCTGCAATGAGAAACTGTCAAACACTAAAAAGTCCCGAAGCTGAAGTCGGATTCTTGTTGTCCAGCTTTTTGTTTAAATTGTCCCGAATCCACTTTAAATGGTAAAGCAGTTCAAATCTTGCACCTCAGGCACCATTTGAGGTGGAACGAGTAACTGAATTCAGCTTTTTACAAGAAACTGTTCTACTTTTTCAGAAAAGTTTCCTGCTGGAGATACGAGAAAGCAGAGCAAAGTAAGTCTGTGTTTTATTCTGACCGATCACCCTTAGACTATGATGAAACATTTCTATCCAGCCCCCATCCATGAGGACCAAATGGTCTGATGAGTATGAAAATGATGTAAACCATATGCCGTCACAGTTACCAGATCTCAAGCCATTTGAACACCCATGGGAAATTTTGGACCAACATGTCAGAGAGTGTTCTCCACAAATCAGAACAGCAGTTGAGGGAGCTGGAAGAATGGTGCTCCATCCCTTCAGTTCAGACGTGTAAAATCTGTACCAAAGTGCACCAAAGCTGTTCTGGTGGCCTGTGGTGGCCAAACACATTATTAAGACCCTTTGACTCTGACTCTGTCTCTGACATGTAATAAACGCTGCTTACTCATACAGTATTCTGAGGCCAAAGGCACCCAGTCATGTCCTGATTGAATGTTTGTATAAAACGCTGCCTGCTGAGGTTAGGTCCTGACTTACTAACCACTGGCAACAAGGCATCGAGACAGCTGTCTTCAGTTTTGGACACAGCTTTTATGTTGGCTTAATGTCTCTATCAGTGTTGGGATGTTCAATTCATTTTACTAAACTGGTTCTTTTCACATTGTTCGTTTCAATGCAGTGAACGTTTGATTCAATTGATTCATTTTTGTGCCAGAGACAGGGGCAGAGTTTCCCAAAACCATCTCAGCGTTAAGATGGACTTAACTGGTAGAGAGAGTTAAGAATCATTTTCGTACTACAATGTTTTCAGCACACATTCATTGATGATTTTGATTGGCCATAATACAAAGACGCTCCTAGAAAACAGATCAAGTTATCCTCTTAAAAATGCAGCTTAATAAATGTTCTTCCCCTATTCGATTCAGAAGGTTTCTGATCAAATGTTGCAAAAACACAGAAAAGTTTCATTTTTTTTGGACTTTTGACCAAATTATTGAAAATGCCAGTTCAAAAGAACGATTTGAATTGGACATGACTAGCCTGTACGTGCTAAAAGCAAATATAATAGCTACTATATGCAAGGTAATGTTAACTAAACCAGACCAGACAACCAATGCTTTTTTCTGTAAATAAACATTCATTTTATTACCAATTAAACAGACTCTATATTATTAGACTTTAGACACCAACTTCATTTAAAACATTCATTTTTCTTTTTTTTACAATCCCATTTTTTTCCTCTGAAGAAAAGAAAACATTTTGATTCGATAATAACAACTATACAAAGACAGGGTAGTAGGTACAATAACTGACTTAAAAAGTGTTCTAACTTGTGTCAATGCAAATTTGGTGACAACAAAATTACAGCGAGCCCCGTCACACACTGTGAATAGGTGTGTGTGTGTGTGTGTGTGTGTGTGTGTGTGTGTGTGTGTGTGTGTGTGGGTGTGTGTGTGTGTGTGTGTGTGTGTGTAGGGCCGGCTTACATTATAGAGATAGCACAAGATACAACAGCGTTTGAGATCATGCACTAAAGTGCTAGGGTTCAAAAGGCATGCAGATCAAATATGATATTTGCACAATTGCCTTCCAAAATATGCATAAGTATAATCCGTTTACCTTCCTATTATGTTTGCATTAAACATTCAGCTTTACGTTTTGAGTAATAAATACACCAGTGTGGTTGACATCATGTTTCATGTATCCCTGACTCAGTGAAACTCAGTTTTCTTTTCTCCTTTCTTAACTCTATTTCTTGGTGTACGAAATAAATAGAACAGAATCTTTTTTGTCCCTCAAATATATTCAAGCTTTGAAGAGTAGGACAAACAAAAAATGGTACATTCAAAATAAGAAAATAACTTTTATCAAGTATGTACACGGGACATAAAATAAGAAATGATGTGTATGCAAAAAAGACAAAGAAAAAACCCAACAACACATGTAAACGTTTATGCAGTAGAGACAAATCTTATTACTACTGATTTTTTTTTTCCAGAACATCTCAAAAAAAGTTCGTAGTCTGTAATATGACTGACACATATAAATCCGTATGTATTGCATACATATACATTAGACACACGTATATGGGACCATTGAGAAATCAAGTGGGTTTTAGGCACCTCTGATGGAATTAGTTTGTGTTCTTTTGCTTCAGGTACATTCCAGGTCCTTGAATTCTCACAGACAGTTTTAGAATGATGTCCTCCTCTGATTGGCTGGTGCTGGTGGAACTCTGCCCTCCTGCTCCGGGTTCCGGAAGGCTTCTAGAAGGGCTGGAAGGTTCCAACACTTCAACACTGGTGGTGTTTTTGTGGTCAGGCTGGAACGGGACAGAGTGGTGGCACGAGAGGAGAAATAGAGAGGGAAGCAGAAGACGAGGAGAAGAGAAAAGAAAAGGAGAGTACACTCTCAAAAACAATGTGTTCTAGAACATCGTATCATGTGCTGTCAATATTTCAACACATTTTGTATCAGACCACAAGACTACAGACTGTGTGACAGACCTCTGAAGTCGTGCGTCACTGCGTAGTCGCCGTCAAGCCCATATTAGGAACTCAGGTCTAAGCAGGTTTTCTCTGGAAAAATGAAATGTCTGTACATCTCCCCCCTGAATGGCACTGGATCCTTGGTATTACGAAGATGTTAAGGAGTCAAAGTTATGAGGGAAATACAGAGGGGAAATAGAAATATTGCTACATTCATGCTACAAGCAAGCTAACACTACACTGAAGTGACACTGCATAAAAAGAAGTCTTCTATCAAACTTCCTATAGACTATTATATCCCTCACAGAAAAAATACATGAATTTCACTTGTGAATAAACACATGGTGTTTTTGGATTATAACGTATTATCGCTACAGATTATAACGTATTATCGCTTGGGAAAAAAATGTGTGATCACACATGCTGTTATAATTACATGTTTACTTGTAAACACGCTTTTTGCACACTTCACACATGAAATTTAACTTTTCTGTAAGGTATACCAACACCAGCTACTCAATCAGTCGGCTGCTACTGCCCAAGCAGCATGACTACCACATTTGACAAAGCTTAATGGTTTGTGTGGGGTATTTTGTTGAGGTTGCCTCTCTTATGATGTCTTTTCAGCAGTGTTAGGCTGCATGTAGTAATATTTTGGCTCCTTAATGACCTCGTAATCCAGAGGATCCGGAAAAATGCACGTTGGGCCTGTTCACACTTTGCCTTGAATCAATGTGTTTGGTGATCGGCTCACGCTTGGATTTCACTTGACTGCATGTAAACACCCCAAGACACATTGTGTCCAGATTATGATCAGATCACTCAGACCACATTCGGAGATGGTCAGAGACGGATCTTGACCACATTTAACACAAGTGTAAATGGAATGGGTTTTCAATATCTGTATACAATTACATGAGCTGAAATGCGTCATGTGCTGACTAGTAGATGAGAATAAACGAAAGATGGAGGATATATAAAGCTGGACTTATTCCTAAGCCAAGACGTTTCTTGAACTCTGGGCTGAGGGGAGTGTGCAAGCCAAGCTTATTGACTCGCACCACGGTGGGGAACAAAGTAAACACAAGTAAAAAGGAAATGACACATGCATTGATGTGTTTTTTTTTACATGGGGAAAGTGAAATTGGATCGCATCTGGTGGGGACCCATTTTAGTGAAAAGTGTAAATGGAATCCAGACAAAGTATCTCTAGATACAATCCGGATGAAACACATGTAATGTAAGGTGTAAACAGGCTCATGGTAGGGCGTAGTGGCAGTGGTTTTCAAAAACGTCATTCATTTTTCCCATAGAGAAAACTAGCTTAGAACTGGAGCTCCTAATTTGGGCATGATGCAGACTCCTGAATGACAACTTCAGAGGTCTATTACAACACAACCTGGACACATTCATTGTGTACAATAATCCAAGATCTGTGATAAAAATGTGTTGTCCCTTAAAGGAAACTCCAGCGTTTTTCAACCTAATCTCTGTCTGTTGCATCTGTAGCATATAGTTAGTTTCCAAAGACAATAATTTTAATTTTAAAATTATTTTCCACAGTAATCAACCGTATGCTATTAAAAATGGCTGGAGTATTCTGTTAACTGGACACACAGATAGGTTAAACAAGAACGAGTGATGTGCTGTTTGTAACACATCTGTTTTGAGAGTGTAGAAGAGAAGAGGTGAGAAACAGAGGATGTGGTCTTGGCTGGTGCAGGACGTCCTCAGGCGGGGGGCTGAGGTAGTTCCTGACTGGGCTCCTCCATCTCTGGGATGGTCTGAGTGGGTCTGGCAGGCGAAGGGAAGCGGAACCTCACTGTGTGTTCTTTGTGTTTGGGGGAAGAGGAAGGGGAGCGTGCGGCCCAGCGGGATGGGGGCCGGCGGTTGGCGGGACGGGCCGGTCTCAGGAAGCAGGAGTCCAGGGGCGGGGCCACTGGTGACCGCGGGAGGTCCTTCATGAAGGAGACACATTCACACAGTTAGACGGGACAACTTTAAAGCCATGAAGATAAGGAACGTACCTCAAGACTACATGGAATGTTTAGATACACAGAATGTAGAACAGCCAAAGCTGTATAAGCTGTACAATTGAGCTCTCCAGATTGTATTTTCATAGCAACTGTTGCTTGGTTGGACAAGCTTTACAGAAAGCTGTGAAAATCCCATTCAAGCTGATAAAAACTGTACCGTACTCAAGTTTTTGACAAAATACCTACATTTAGAGGGCGCTATTCATTTCCAATATTTATTTTGTTTACATGTGAAAGGTTGAACAATTTTGGGACAGGTCGGGGGTTTTAGCGTTACATAGCTTGATTTATTTTTAATATCATTTTTAATTGTTTGAAATTCTCAGAGACGAATGCTTTTACTGTGATGCATGAACTATGCAGTTCAGTTGCTGTACTGTGAAATTTACTTATAGCTACCCCGCTAAGCTAGCATTTGATGTTCTCCAGAGATGTTAGCTAGCAAAGTCAGACACTGTTTTTATTTTTTTTTTTTTCAAAAAACTGAGTTCTTCCCCACTACTTTTGTACATGTCGCCCCATCCCTCATTTGAATTCAGTAATGCACTCAAAACGTATGTATTTTGGCAAAAACAGAGCTGTCGCTGATTTCACATTAAGTTGAATGGGATTTTTGTCAATGTTTTGTAAAGCTTGTCCAACCTAGCAACAGCAGAGGAATGGAATTGTGGGTGGAGCTGGGGAAACCCAATTGAAATTATTCCTCAAATCTCATGTTCCGATACTGGAGAATTCTGTATAATTCTATAGTGAAGAGGGACTGAGTTTCCCCTTCTCTGTTACACTAACACCACTCTCTCTCGTTTGGTCTCTCTGTTATAATTAGTGCTTTTCTTCAGGCTTTTGGTTTCATCTGAAGGATGGTGAAATCTAATACACGATGCATAATCTTCTGCTAAAAATACACAGCTGTTATGCAGAAACACACTTCCTCTGACCCACTAAAGTGAGCCAGAGTCTAGACCGTTCCCTCTGCACATCCCAGCAGTTAACCTGCCTCTAACACATATTGTAGCGGCTGATGCTGTATTACTGACTGATAAAAACATGAGAGACTGACAGCTAATTGCCTTCAAAGAGACAAATAATTTACATTTAATTAAAATCTGAATTATCTGTATTATGTATGTGCATGATGCATCTGTTTTGAGTTAAAAATTGAATGGGCAGATTTTCAACCTGCATGCACTTTTTACTCCTTATGTCCTTTTGAATGTGTCAAATGTCAAACTTCAAAAGATGGATAATATCTGATGCTCCTAATAAGACCAAGGTTGAGATATGATTTCTGAGGGAGTACTTTGAAGTTTTCCACTGAAAATGTGACAATATGGAATTTGTGGATTCGTTCCTGACTAAAACAACCAAATGACTACTGATAACAGCAGAAATAATGAGGTCATATCTTCACTGAGCCAATAGATCCCACTGGAAACACTGACGCTATACAGATGCAGCATAGCACTCACCAAGCAGTCACGAATTTATGTTCTGAACTCATTATAACCTCATTCAGAGTTACTAATGAGGGCTAGCATTAGCATTACAGTCTCCCAGGAGCAGCTCCTTTATGATTAAAGAAGCGCATTAGATGTGAAATCGTGATGCACAGAGCAAGCAGCTGGAGTTAGAAGTTAGAAGGCCGCACTCTTGCTTTCAGCGCAGCTCCCTGCCGTTAGCATGCAGCAACGATACACACACTTCACCCGGACAGTCCGTTATCACGGGACAGACAGGTGATGGGCAGCAAGTACAGGTAGAGGAAGAAGAGAGAGTATAAAGTGTGTTAGTGCGTAGTCTTCGTCAGTGGGACAGAGGAGGTCGTGTACATAGCCATGTGTTTAGTTCATTACTTAATGTGGGCCCCACTGAAAGAACTGTAAGAGAGTTAAGGACAAAAAATGGAGTAAAATAATAAACAACAACAGACACATGGCAGGACCTATTAGAGACACATTATGATATTAATCACCTATGAAAACACATCCAAACACATCCAAAAAGCTATCAGTGTGTTTTTTTAACACTTAAAAGAGTTGTATCTTTTTTAAACAGCCATTACAGACGACAGCATCATTAGAACGCAGTTCATAAGTTTGGACACATCTGTGCAGAAAAGTTTACTTATTTTTACTTATCTTCATATTTTAGCGCAGAGATCTTAGGGCGTTAGCACTGTTCCTTTATATACGTGTATATATATTGTTGCTGTCGGAACAAAACCTTTTATCTCCAAAATGGTAACTTTACAGGAGAAGGAAAAAACATACTTTACTTTTAATGTAAGTCAATGGAACCAGAATTCTTTCCAAGTAATTTTGGGTCATTTCTTTTGGTCCATTCATCATGAAATTTACACACAATGTTAAGGGCAACAGGCATCAAATTATGTCAAAAACGGAGACAGAAGGTTTTCTTCTGACAGCAGCGAGATCGTGATGCGGATGTGAACGATTCTGAATCAATTAACAGATGTCAAAAATTGATTTTCTAAATATTTAATTTATAATGTAATGTTGACGAAACGCAAAAGGCTGAACTTGGAAGTGAGGAAGTGCAGCGCCCGGACAGTCTGTGGCGGCACACAACAAAAACACTGCTGGATGAGCGAGAAATCCGACCGGCTCCCTCTGCATTAAAAGCCAGGTTAGGTCAGGAGTCACAACCCAAATGATAAGAAGAGCCATTTTGTCCTTTCAACAAAAATCAAACCAGCTTGGGAGCCACAACATTTTATGTCCAGTATGTGATAATATCCTAGTAGAGGCTAAACAGTATAAACGCGAGCACACTTACTTTGCTCTGCTTTAAGCTTTGGCCGCTTTCCTCCCCTTTCCCTCAGGAAACTTTTATTCAAAACTAGAGCAGCTTATTGTAAAATGTCTCTCAGCGTTCGACTGTTTTACGAGGCTGAAGTCGCTTCTTATTTTCCAGCTTCTTGTTCGAATTTCCCTGTTCCACCTTAAATTCTGATTGAGGCGCCGAATGTAAATGCGACACCATTTAAGGTGGAACGGGAAAATTCAAAAGAGAAGCGACTTCATCTTCGCAACTTTTTAGAGAAAGACAGTCTCTCATTGCAGATTTAACGTACCAGGAAACCAACTGCGCTGCTTATGAATGCGAATAATGCATCGTTGCTATGTGACCTGCAGTCTGCACGCCAGTGCTCAGTTGTTGAGAAACAGGGCTTTCGCTCTATGTTGCACACGTCCCGTCTCGGAGACATTTTACTGACACAGCGATCCCTGAACTCTCTACAACGAGACCAAAACCGAAGTTATAAAATCACTAAAGAAAACGGGTAGAATAGCTGTAACGTGATGCGTGGACATCCATTACCACTGGATCTTTTGTCACCGTAACTGCGCATTTTACCGCAGATGAGTGGCAGCAGCTTCTCATGTGCTCCAAACAAGAGCACTGAATGAGAGTCTTCCAGTTCACTTGCCACATCACTTCCATTTGATTTATTAATAAGAGATATTAGAAGTAAATTCATTATTGATTATTACAAATACTTTGGTTTAAAAGTACCAAGTCACTTTAAATAACAACACTGAGTTACTTAGTCACTTTAAAATGTATATTGTCTCTATATTCTGTGTATATTCTGTGTATATTTTGTGTATATTTAATATATTTCAGTTGGTTTTCTTGTATTTTTATTTTTACTTATTTACTTTCTGTAGAGTGATTAGCTGAGCCTCACCACAAGCATTTCAATGCATAAATGTCCTGACATGTTGTGCAAATGACAAATAAACTTGAAACTTGAACTCGAAACTTGAGCTCACACAGTGAGAAAATAGAAATATAATATATATAAATAAAAGGGCGGCATGGTGGCGCAGTGGGTAGTGTTGTCACCTCACAGCAAGAGCGGCCTGGGTTCGATTCCCGGCCGGGCGACCAGGGTCATTTCTTGCAACATGCAGTCAAGCTGATTGGACATGCTAAATTGCCCCTAGGTGTGAGTGAGTGTATGTCTGTCTGTCTGCCCTGCGATGGACTGGCGACCTGTCCAGGGTGTATCCTGCCTTCTGCCCAATGACAGCTGGGGTAGGCTCCATGACCCAGAAGGATAAGTGATTTAGATTATGTATGTATATATATACACACACACATTTTACTCCTATTACTGACATATTTTGTCTAGCACTATGTCACGAATGAAACCATGAAGGGAGATTTAACTAACTTAGAATTAGAATAATAGCTAAACTAGCTACAGCTAAATTACAGCCATGCCCGATGCTGAATCAGGTTTCTCGTAAATGCAGCACTCTATTTTTGTTTTAAACACTGTAATCATCAGCCTAAACTGACATTAATTTGTGTAACAAATCGTGGTGTTTGGTGAAGCAAATTAAGCCATCAAATGTAAATATGTAGCTGCAAAAAAGATGTGAAGGCTGGATTTAAAGATAAATTGTAAATGTGATGGGCTACAGTACTTGTTTTTAAAGTAATAGTGAAGACATCAAAACTATCAAATAATGCATGTAGAGTTATGATGTGACCAAACATGTCAAAAAACATCTGTCTTGTACTAATCTTCTATTTTACATACTTCAAAGTAGCCCCCTGTTGCTTTGATGCAACTTTACACTTGGCATTCTCTCGGTCAGCCTCATGAGGAGCCACCTGGGATGCTTTTTTCTTTGTTTTTATCATTTCATGAAAACCATTAACATACAGACGGGCATCAAATTAAAGGAAAAAACCTGCATAAATGAGTGCAGGGACTTCCAGTCAGATATACTGCTCTATACAATTAGCTACCATGCTCTGTGGAATGTTTAGTGTCAACAGGCCCAGTGACCTCGATTTTGGATCAAGATGACAAGAGGAAATGCAATAAGTGACTTTAAAAGAGCGTTTATCACTGGAGAATGGATGGCAGGTTCAGTCACATAGACTGCTCAACTGTCTAGTGTTTAAGTAGAAACAGTGACTAAAATGACATCTACATTTAGATCTATGGGACAGACATCAGGAAACTTGGTTGGAAATTGTAATCAAAAGAACATTCAGTGACTGTGATGTTTGTGCATTAATATGAACAGGAGAGCAGCTGTTACTTACTCAGGTGACTGAGAATGTTAATGCCATGAAAGATATTATAGGATGTTAAGTATATTACGAAGACAAATGCACATTTGAGATTTGAGAACAGACACTGTTCTACAGAAATGCAGAAAAATGTAATCTGGTCAAATCATCCTTCACCACATTCTCCACGAGTGGGAGAGTGAATGTGCAACATATATTAAAAGAACAATCCAGGCCTGAATGTTCGAACCCAATGGTGAGGGAGTCAAGTGGCTCTGTTATGCTGTGGGGGGCATTTTGCTGGCATGATTTAAGTCCAGTTGTCCCCACAGAGGGAAGGGTCGCTACAAATCAGTACAAAGTTATTCTGACTGATCTCTTTTATAGTGTGATATACCGTTTCTGTCCTGATGGGAGTGGTCTCTTCCAGCTTAAAAAGGTCCCCTATCCACAAGGCATGAGTTGGAGCAATGGTTCCCCACCCTGGTTCTGGAGGACCCCCTGTCCTGCACATTTTATGGTATTCCCTGATCCCAACACGCAAATCCCTTCCTTTGTTGAAGTAGTTGAAGTAGCTGAGTTGAAGTAGCTGTTTTAGAGCAGGAAAACATGTGCAGGGCAGGGGGTACTCTAGGACCAGGGTTGGGAACCACTGTGAGAGCGCTCTCCAGCACCATCAACAAAACACCAACTAAGGGAGTATTTTTGGAAGAATCGTGTTCCATTCCCCAGTACAGTTCCAGAAGTTTGTAGAATCTATACCAAGGTGCACTGAAGCTGTTCTAGTGGCTTGTGGTGGCCCAGAACCTTACTAAGACACTTTATGTTGTTTTTTCCTGACACTCATCTGTCCATCTGCCTATTCAGTCTACTGCAGCTGAGCTCCACCCATTTATGCTGGATCTCAGAGATAACAAAAGATAGATAGATAGATAGATAGATAGATAGATATAGATAGATAGATAGATACTTTGTTGATCCTGAAGGAAATTTAGCAAAACTAAATTTTTAAAATAAAAAAAAATCTTTAAATTAAAAATTAGCAAAAATAAAATATAAGAAAAATGTAAGATATTTAAAGCTGCACTATGCAACATTTTTGTTAATAATTGAAAGAAGCGGAGAAATAATATGCTAAAATATGCTGCGAGTCACCCTGTAAATCCTGAAATAATAATTCAAAAGTCACGTAATTTATAAGAGGCATCAGGATCGATTCGGCAGGTGTTTCTCAGACTACGTCATACATCTTTACATATTAACGTCATATGTGCAGACTCAAAAAGAAGATCTGGCTCCATGTTTAGGTCTCAAATGCAAAATCAACGTTACACTGATGAACATGATAACAATATTAGATAATTCACTTACATCCTTGGAAGACACGTCCTTCGCCAAGTTTTGACTAAGTTCTCTTTGAAACATCTTTCAACACACTTGCAATCACCAGATTCATCCACTCGGGCAAGAAGTCTAAAGCACAACCCACATTACAAAATGTTCTTCCACACATTGCGTGCCATTACACCTTTCCACCAGAGAGGTCTCCAAATCCCCAAAAGTTACATAGTGCAGCTTTAAGAAATAAATTTAGACATAGCCATCAACTTAAATGCATTTAAGCATAAATTGGAGAAACATACATCAGGTGTGTCCAAACATTTGTCTAGTGCTGTGTATTAGCAATGCAGTCAATCATCAAACTATAAGCCTTTGCTCTGCTAGCTTTTTGGATAAAGGTTTTCAATTCTTAATGAAATTAACTGATCACACAACGATGCGCATGCTCGCACCTACACCAGGACGGTAAAAGAAGTGAGACACAAAAGATAACACGCACCACGTTTCCCACAACACCTGGCAATGATCCCCATTCTCTGTGAGAATGATGCATGCAGTGGTGGATTGGTACGGCTGTGAGAGAGGTCCATAAAACGCAGCGTGACTCGACACGGGTGAAGCCACTGTGAGGTCAAAGGTCATAGAAGAGGAACTTACAGCATGGTGTGTGCGCGCGAGCGCCATTATAGTCCCCAGGGAGCAGTGAGTAAGACAGTATGGTTCTGGAGGCAACCCGGAGAGGGAGACAGGGGAAAACACTCATCAGCACAAAACACAATCGCATCAGATACAGGAGATGACTGGCAAAAAGGGCCTGTGTGATAAGACTCCATGACGAAAGATCACTGCAGCCTACAGGTGGTCCACTCCTCTTTCTGTGGAACCTGTAAAAGGGGCGAGGGGGGTTTTGGCATGACCATCCTCACTGTCCATTCAGAGGAATAACACATTAAGTGTACTGTACATGAGATGTTACATCTGAACACTATGCACACTATGAACACTATGGTAGCTACTGTGTATCAGGGCCTGACCGATATGAACCTTTTGTGACCCATATGGATACTGATTTTAAAGGGGAAGTCCAACAATTTTTCAAAATTTCTGTACAATTACACAGTTGAGATGTAAACATCTTAAAAGTCGTTTCAGAGTCTGTTAATGTGTTCCCTGCATTTCAATTGTAGAGAAACTCATCAAGTCAGAATTGTTTGGAGTGGCGGTGATAGAAACCAGATGCCCGAAGTGTTTAATGCCTCTATAAGCTACGTCATAGAAAGTTATTACACAAAATGGTTATGAATGCATTGGTAGATGCCTGAGACATTGTTTTTATACGTTTTGCCATGAAATTTAATTTTCAAAGTATATGAAGGGCAGAGGTAAATGAGCATAGGCAAAATAGTACATCAATAAAATATTTTTTTTGGATTTTACCACCAACACTATTTTATCACGAACAATTTTACATGCAAAAACGTGTAGGTTCACTGGTCATTTGGGATAGTTTGTGTTGCTGATATCGCAACCCCTCGTTCACCCATCACAACTGTAAATAAATCAGAGTCAGTAAATTTCTCTACAATGAACCATTTCACATCAAATCACACTTTGTTTACATCACAAAACTTTTGAAAAAAAAAATGGTGGAATTCCCCTTTCTAAAAATTCAGATATCTGAAAATATTTCAACTGACAGCATTTCTTAAACTGAAATAAAGAGTGGAAACACACTTCTAAAGCATAAATATACAGCAAAATTCATAATGATAACCTTTTTTTTTTAACAATGATTGAACTCAGCTATTAGAAATACACACAGTTTTCATTTACAAGACTATTTAGGTATTTTGGTATTTCTTCTGATTGTATTTCAGTAACGTTTAAGCTAGCTGCACAGCGTTTCTCTGTGAATTTGCACACATCAGGATACCTAAACTACAAGTTTCACCTCCTCCTTACACGGCTTCTTATTTCTCAGTAAAGTAAATATTAGATGAATTAGTAGTGTAACTGCAAATAGGCATTCTTTCACGTTCTCTCGCTGTCTTCTTTCCTCTCTCTCACTCTCCTGCTGCCCCGACCCTAGCTGCAATCATGTAGCGGTCGAATTCAAAGCACGTTGTTTTTTTGAAGCACGCTGTTTTTCTTTGTAAATGGATAGAAATATACCTGTCATACACCCGGCTGTACCGCCAAGGTATAACCTATGTGCGGGAAACACTGTGTTTATGTCTCAACGCAGTATCGGCATTGGTAGATATATACATGAGAAATATATTGGATATCGAAATCGGCCAACAGTTCGTTTCATATCGGCGCATCCCTAGAATCTGAATTCCAGTCGGGTGGACTGTGTGAACTGTAATTTTACTGATCCAGATCCTGACCTGTTTATCTACTTATTGTGGTTTGTTTTTTTGTCATAATCCACATTCAGCATTTCTAGTTACTGTACTGAGTGCTGTCAAGCATCAGACTTACTGATGGGCTCTTTAAAGATTAGTGGACTCATCACTCAACTTAACAACAATACCATTTCCAAACATTAATGCCTTGTACTTAAACCAATGATCTGTTAGTTAAACCCCGCTACATCATGATCTGCCATTCTGACCTAAAATATAAAAGCCGATTGTAAAAATTATTATAAATGAATCATCCAATCACGATACTATATAACGTTACCCTCCAATCATACAGTCTATATGTGTTGACAAACATCTCTCAAGTTCACTCAATGTGTTGGTCTTCCAAATGGACCATATTTAACAACTGACACCAACAGTAGCTACACAATTCATATAATCAGCAAGCATTAAAGCAACTGTGTTTCCTGTAGGCAGAAGCACAAGTGCGCAGCAATAAAATGATAAGCAACATACATTACTAACTGTTAAGCTGCAGCACAGCATTGCGGTCCCATGCTTTTCAGCCAGAGGCGCACAAAGGCATGCGGTTTAGATCCATCAATATATGGGGTTTACACCATCAGCATGATGGGATCAAAGCAGCTGACACTGGCTACGGGCCACTGGCATTCCACTTGTCATTTAGGACAATATAAACCCTTAAACCGCAAGGGCTCACATGTGGATCCACACTTCAATTTCTCAGCCATGTAACTGTATAATAATTTTATAGTAGTTACTGAAGTACAGTTATATGCAAATGTTTGAACACCACTCAGTCTAATTACTATCTAATTTTGTTGATTTTCTAAATGAAAGTATGTCTTACATTATCAGAACAAAATGAAATATTCCATTCTTCTACAAATTTTAGTGCACAATTTCTATTTGCTGAGTTTAACATATTGTAAAAAAAATTACCAAACATACAAAATGATAAAAAATTAAATATATAAAACGTGCCACACTTTTTGCACCGTCCACATTTATTTTTTGATGTTAAATTAAGCGAATGAACAGTAATTGTGCATTAAAGCGTGCAGTAGTGCGTTCCCTGTAGATGATGTGTTAACTTATTTTCACTCAGAAAATCAACAAAACATGTAATTTAACCAGGGGTGCCTACACTTTTGCATTCAACTGCAGCAGTTATTACAGCTGGCCCGAATAATTTGAATACTCAAGTCCTTGTTTGTTAGGTTGGTATTCATTTCTCTATTTAGTATTTGAAAGCTTTGTCTTTTTAAGCCATAAATTATAGTCCAAACTAAACTTCATTAGCGAAGGCCTTTAGATAAACCGGTGATTGTTAATATATGCAAAATGTTAATTATATCTGGTTTAGTTTAGAATACATCACCAGGCTTCTACATCACCTCACCACATAGTGCAAACCACTTTCATTGTGACTAATGAAGCTAAAACAACAAAGAAGCCTCAGAAAGGATTTGCGTTATGTTGGAACACTTTCTTATTGCTAATAAGAAAAATGATCGGTGAAAACTTTGTAGTATGAGATTGTTATGCCATGGAGGCACGACATGTCTGATAAATTTTTTCACAAAATTACTATTACAAGATACCGTGTATCAGAGGACAGTTTCCTTCACACATTGTTAGTACAGCGCAGGAGCTGCTCTGCAACTACCACACCAAAAAGATCATCATATTTTAGTAAATTATTATTTTATATAAAATTTAGAATGCAGTTAAATGTTCCAATGTGTGATTTGACTGTGTGTCTTGGAGACATGGCTTCTTAATAAAAACAATGCATGACCACAAATTACTAAGCATAGGAATGGGATCCTAATACCCTGGCCACGACTCAGTAAGGCATGGCAACGAGATAGTTAAGTTGCGGCCACAACTTACTAAGGTATGGGAACTACTTTGTTATCTCATTCCCACAACTTAGAAACATGCACAGGTACTCAAGTACTCAGTTAACTGCTGGAGGTGCCAGGATTTGAATACTGAAATCAGTAGTCAGGTATTTGTTCCGTTTCAGCACAGGAAGACTGAGAAAATATACAGACTAACAGTCCAACAAAATGCCAATCTTATGTTTTAAAAGGACTGTAAAATGTTATGGTTTTGCTCGCATTTGTGAGCTGTGAGTGTTGCCAAGGATGCATTGTTAAGGATGTGAGAACGCAAATGTAGCACAGCATTACTGCTAACTAAGCTAACTACTCTAGCTGATGTTGGCTAGGTCCAGAAACAGTAGAAATATGTTACTGACAAGCTGGCGCATCGTCCTCATCAGCATTCAGTTTTGTAACCGCTGTAATTTTAGCTCATCTGAAGAGGCCTCTGTTTTATCAAACACGAAAACTACTGATCTCCCTCTGCGTTTTTTAATAATAATGTGTTTTTAAATGTATTCTGACCAAAGTACCTGTTTTGGGTGTTCCTCACGGTTACTCGACATGCGTTCATTAACTCTTAGGGATATTCGAATTTCAAAATTAGAATTAAAAGAAATAAAAAAATCTGAATGCACATTCATAGACTTTATGATCTTAATTATCTTGTTCCTATGTCTTACAAAGTCATGGCCACACCTATCCTATTTATATGCCTTAGTAAGTTGTGGGCATGCAAGAATGGATGTCACCAGTAGGGCTCCTGAGTGTGAACTGAAACATTGATCAAGATGGAATAGTATCTGTTCCAAATGCCGACTACAAACGCTTTAAATATTATTGTTTTTAAGGGTAATTTTGAGAACAAGTATGCAGCGACTCATTCTGCAATATCTGCAATATTCAAGTATTTGAAGCCTGCAAAATGGTATTCGGGCCAGCCAGAGTTTATTATAGTGGATAATATGTCTAAAGATTAATAATACACCAAGAGTTTAAGGGGTTTCAAAGTTGCACATTGCTTAAGAAAGCAATCTCACAGAACGTGTGATTGTGTGCTTGAGTACAGTCTATTTTTACCTCAATGCATCCAGGTTTGTCCGCGTCTCCTGTCCTGCTCTGGGATGTCCCGCCTGAACTGGGCGGCCTCTTCTCGTCCCTGAAGCCCTGCTCCAGCATTTTCTTATTCAGAATCCGTGCTGCGTTCTCCGCTAGCGTGTAGCCGGGCGGAGCTGATAGATCCTGTCTGATGCTAACTGTTTCGAGGGTCTTCTCGTCCTGCGATTCGACTATGAGCTGCACAGGGCTGGGCGAGCGGCCCCGGGACACTTTCAACAACTCCTGTGCTGCTCCGTAACTACCCGTGGGCCCGCTTTCAACAGGCCGGGAGCGGCTAGGTGACCTGTTAAACTTTTGTTGTGAGTCGTAGGTAACAGGTGTGTGGTCAATGATGTTGAAGAGGCTTGACAGACCGTCGTTGATGGTGGTGTGGACGGGGCTGTCACGGGTGGTGGTGGAGCGGGCCCAAGCTGACTCACTGTTGCCCTTGGGTGGCTGGGAGGCGACTGCAGGTGTCGGGGCTCGGGATGGGCCACCGGATGCCTCAGGTTTAGCTGTGGGGGCAGTGGAGGAGGGTTTGCGCTGCAGCTTGGGAGAGCCATATTTCGGTGAGCAGCAGGGGCGCTCGAACTTGCCCTGTGCCACAGGAGAGTACTGCACCTTCCTGAGGCTACGTGAGGGTGAGGAAACTGGTGTGGAGCCACCCCCCTTTGGCGTGAGGCAGCGATGGGGGCTGCTGGTGAGGGCTCGAAGGGCCTCAGTCTGCAGGCCCACGCTGATGGTCTGGGTGGTCTGTGTCCCACGTGTGGTGAAGCCATTGGTCTGGCAGGATGCATCCCGTAGCTGGGTGGGGGCGGAGGCCGTGCTGGAGCGGATAGCGTTGCGGACAGAAAAGGCCACCTCCTTCATGTCATCGCTCAGATTGCGGGACAGCTCCAGCTCCAGCGAGGATGCATAACCCAGACCCGTCTCCAGATGGTGTCCCCTCAGCTCACAAGGCCATCTGCCTCCAAAAACGTCCTCCCCCTCCCCTGCCTTGGCTTTGCTCACTTTGGAAAACATGTACTCCTGCTCTGAAGGCCCAGGGGCTGCCCTCTCGCCCCGAGTAGGGCTGTGAAGGACGCGGACCCCAAAATGTTCGGATCCAGAGGCACCCCTCAGAGGCAGCCTCTGGCAGTGCTCTGGGCTGCTCATGGTGTTGGTGGTCAAGGTGGCGCTTGTGGTCAGGTACCAGGAGGCCGGCTGAAAGGCTTCTGATGGAGGGTCCGGGGGTCTGCGGGAATCTGCCCGCTCTGCCCAGGCCTCCACTACCGTTGGGGGCAGCGCAGGGCCTGGGATGGGGCAGGAGGCGAGAGATGCTGCAGGGAGGTCCCAACCTTTGTTGTTGAACTCCTCAATGTATTTGAGGTCATCTGGAGAGAGAGGTGGGGTGGCCTCGTCCCGTCCGTGCTCACCCGACTTGCTCTTGTCTGGCAGGAAGGGAGAGCTGTCCATCAAACGCTGGAAATCACTCATGGAGCAGACAGACTTCGCCCTGTGGAGACAGTTTGATAGTGTTGGCACAAGGTTAGAGCAGAGTAGTGTTACTGTGACCTCCAATTGAGAATATTTAAAAGGAAGGATATCCAGTTCTGGTCCTGGAGGGCTGGTATCCAGAACAATTTGGTGATTTTCCTGTTCAAACACACCTAGTTCAACTCTATTAGCATGTTCAATTGGTGTGTTTGAGCAGCCAATCGCTAAACTCTGCTGGACAGCAGCCCTCTAAAACAAGAATGGAAAACTCCTGTTCTAAAGAGTTCTAAAGTGTCATCTTTAGTTTAGTAGAACCTATCCCAAGCTCAAGGTCGCATATTCTCCCTTTCAACCATCCAATAAACCATCTTCTATTTTGTTTTTTCAATATTAATCACTTGAAAGTATGTCATTCTACATGATCATGTGATGTGTTATTGCAAATTTGATTGGCTCCATGAAGCTGGGACGCTTGCAACTGTTGCAGGTGAGTTTCACATGAGTTGCAGGATGCAATTTATTTTCATGTAGTTTGCATATTTGAAAATGAAATGATAGATAATATCGCTAACGTGGATAGATAATATTACTAATGTGAATATTTAATATATACAGTCTAAATGTATTACTAATGTGGATATATATTAAAGCCTGTCAAGACTACTGAATAAAGATGTGTTTGGGAGCTGACAGTGCCAACACTATCTGATCTGCCTTAGCGAAAAAAAAGCCAGAATGCCCATTATTTCCAAAACATTGCATGCATTTTTTTTCACATCTTTAGTGGTCAAATACTTGAGTGGGCATCCATATACCTGGGCAGACTTACAAAGTATAACTTGAAATATAAAAGTGTGGGAAACTCTCATCAACAACATGATTCAACATTAGAGAGAGGGTGAAAACAAAGAAAAAGACAAGCCTTGAGTAAAAATGATACTGAAGAATTGGTGACTCATGGAAGCTGAACTACAAAGAGTCTACTCTTAGTATACTTTTGGGTGTGAGTGGTATGTTTGTGATATATGTTTCTTTCTATTTAATTATTCCCTGTTTAGCTCTAGCTTGATGACAAGACAGCAGCACCAATGTGGAAGGACATGCACTTCCTCCAGTGCGTGGGAATTCAGCCTCTGCATCTCGCTGAAGCGCTGAGCACACAGAACTGCAGAGAATGCTTAGCGCTTGACTGCGCAATATGATGCAGACGCCCGACTGGCGGGCAACACTGCATACCAATGACAGAAACAAGGGAGAAAGTTTTCTTCTCCTAGTGAAAATCGGGCCCAGCTGGGATTCAAAGCTGAAGCCCAGCTCCTAAGGTACATCTTTTAAAAGTCTGAGGGAGATTCTTTAGGCCTGTGTTTAAGTCAGTCACTACCCAAATGATTGCTGATGAGATCTGTGGGCCATTATATAGAACGTGATTAAACATTTGGCCAGCTGGCTGAGATTATCTGGGCCATATCCTTTCTGAAAGCTTTTCATTCACATCCTCCAGGGAGGCTAGAAAAGCAGCACCAAAAAAATAAATACTACATAAATAATACACTCTTATTCCTGAACTCCTTTGGCAGGAAAACTAGTATCACATCACTTTATGATGTTTGTATTGGTCAGAACCAATGCCACCATACCACGGACAAAATACAGAAAACTGTCGAGTTAATATCACAATTCAGTTTAATTAATTTTTTTATCTAAATCTTCCTCTTTAGTTTAGTTGTGGCCAGCTCCTCCCCACTAATTAGGTTAGGCCTCCCTCCATATGATGCTACCAAGCTGGGATGGTGAAGGTTAGTACATGCGTGAAGCACCACCACATCTTTTCAAACTGCAGCTAATGCAATGTCACTAGACAGCTCAACACACTTAGAGAACACTAAACTATCAATTCTGTCACATCAGCTAACAGACAGCCGCGATGGCTAGCACTGCACTGTGTGGAGGGAGGAGAAAGTGAGGCCAATTACACTCTCTTCGACTCCTGGCCATGGATGGCTGTGGCATCAAACTCATGACTATTTCGTCTTTATTCCACAAAATATTGAAAATCTGGTCAGTAAGCATTCATTTACAGAGAAAAACACTACATACCTCTCCTAAAGCAAGCCCAGACGTATCATTTAGATTGGTTAGCTGTACTTTATTATGTTAAATCAAGTGCACTGCTGCAGGAATTTGAACAAATTTACGAGGTCTAGGAAATCTGGAGGTGTCCAGGTAAAATTTGTAACCAAATTTTGTTCTTCAAACTAGCTCATATCAACTACTATTTTCAAAATAATATTTTTGTTACTTCTTTTTAAATGTATGTTTACTGCCAAGATAAATGGTTTTAAACAATGTGCTTCGGTACACGTTTGCACATTAATACATATATGTATATGTATTGCATGGGTAATCTTCTGATTATCCAGCAATTTTAATTTTGATTCAAAAATGTAGGAAAGGTTCGGCAAAGAGATAAAGTCCTAGATCTAGATTGTGTAAGGGGTTTATTCTTAGGGTTAAATATGAATCAAAGCTGCTGTAACCTAATATAAACAAGCAGTGGGGAACACTGAGTGATAACTGTGTTCTTTGGTGACACTGCAAAAAATAATATCTTGTCAGGTGAAATCACTTTATATCTAATTTTTCGTTATGAGACTGCAGTAACCATAAAATTATTCAATTTATTTCTAGACTTTTAACATGTTTTAAGTGATTTTATCAAGTGATTATCTAACTAAATTGGCAGATAATCTATCTTGTTTTAAGAAATATGCTTGAAACAAGCCAAATTTTCTGTAAATATGTGAGATAATCACTTGGTAAAATAATTTAAGACAAGTCTAGAAATAGGTTACATATTTTGTATCCTACAACAATCTCAAAATGGGAAATTTTAGATATATCACAATACTTCATTTAGATTAATTTACCCAAAAAGATATAATTTCTTGCAGTGTAGAACATGCACACAGACACATGAACACACAGAGTACCTGAGGAGGCTCCCACTGCTCAGCTCTTCCTCCCCATACAGTGCAGGATCTGCTCTCTCAGAGATTTCATTCAGCGCCTGTAACACAGACCACAGTTAGAGCATGTGCACACACACTTTTACATTCATACGCATTCGACACACACGGGTAGACTAAGGCTGTGTTCAGACCTGGCAGGCTTGTTGATTAAAATGAACCCTGGTGTGATTGTTCTGTTCAGTAGAGCAAGTGAAAACACTGCCATCCGAACTATAGTGCACAACAAATAAGTGGACTGAGACCGTTTAACAGGTCAGTCTCAGTTTGCTTCAAATGCACTCTGATACGGCTTCTTTAAAGTATGAACACAACACAGACCAAAGATGTCTAAACGGACCAAAGACAGAATCTACCGCTGCTTTGTGGAATAGGTGAGTTTCTGATGCTGTTTTGACACGTTCATGTGTTTCATCATCACTTCATAAGCTCTGAATCGGTAAACATAGAATGGATAGTTTGGGTTTTAAAACGAGGCTGAGGCACATTTGAAGTCATTATAAAACAGTTGATATACACAATTGACTACACACATAAATTAGATTATGTAGTGAGGCGCCAACGTTTCTCCGTTTTGTAAAAGCAGTAAGCCACTCATCTTATCTCATGCTGCTCCGTGTTGTGCAAAATCATGGTAACACAGTGGCTTATTGCTATAATATCACAAGACAGATAAAACAAGACATAAATAAAACCAATGAGCCCAGACAGAACAGAAAACGGCATGACTCAGAAAGTTTGGTGGACAGCTATTGTAAATCATAAAATCTGCCCATGCAGTTGTGACCTTTCACCTTTTGTTTACATCTTTTGGTTCGATGTTAAATATGTCAGTGTGAAAGGTAAGCAAACCTGAACTAAAGTGTAACAATGTATCATTTTCTGCTTGGTTCTGCAAGTATAAATGCACCCTAACAGTCATATCTGCAGCATTTTGACCAATAATTAGCTCATCAGGTGACCCTTAGCAGTCACAGCTGTTTCCAGCAATAATATATCAACTATTTCTCATAGCTCATAGAAAAAATCAGAGAAATTATGGTGAAAGTGTGGATTCTTAATGTTCAGTCAATACCACATCTGTGTCTGTAAGTAGATGAGATATTTTATTATGATTTGAATTTGATGAGAAGTTAGGATTGTGTGTATGCTTTTGTTCTGCAGGTCAAAAAAACAGTTTACATATTTATTTATATTTTTTTAATTCTTGCATTAGCCACGTTTACATGCAGCCTAATAATCCGTTAATAATCCGAACAATAGCTCAGTTGGAATAGCATGCGTCCATGTATACACCTCAAGCAGAATGGACTAATCCGAATTGAGGCTATTCGGAATACAACTTCTATCCAATTGAACAAGGTGGGTAATCGTGTAAATAATCTGTTAAAAGGAAGAATAATAACCATGTAAACGCCTGTATCCAATTACATCCCCAATCGGAAAGTTTAAGTACGATCTGCGCATGTGCGCTCACATCATAGCGAAAGTTCAACATAGCGGGAGCAAAAACTGGTCTGCAGAGGAGACAAAGTTTATGCTTTGAACTATAAAAGACTGCGGTGGGACGGGCGTCCAACCCATGTGCCTCAGAACACGACGTCTTCCTCTCACCTTTCTTTAATAAGTACATCTGAAGTAAATTATCCTAAATCTGCCGTAATTTTAAGCAATTTGAAAACACAAGCACTACTCACTGCTGCTCGTCTCACTCTGACTGGACTCATGCGATGCTTGTTGTCATGGTAACATCTATACTAAGTGGTACTCTACATGTGCATAATTTTGTATTGGATTACTTGTAGTGTGCATGTAAAAGGCGATTTGTATCAGACTGTTGAGCAGAGGGAGCATATAAACACCTCAGTCTTAATCTATTATTGGAATGGATTCAATCTGATTGGCAAAAATCTTTGTATGTAAACAGCCATTAAAACAAATGGCATGTTGACAGTGCAGACTCAGACCTGTCAATACACAATGTAAATCACATGCAAATGTTATTCATTGCATATGTAAGTGCACTAAAAAGTGATGCAGTGAATTTACTTGACTTAAATATGTACATAATTGCCATATTAATAAAATACATTGTCAACATTATCATATTATCAACAGAATTATTGCCAAAAGTAAGGAAACCGAAGGATAAAATGTGTTGCTGCAATATATTTCAGTCATGTGAACATGATATGAACAATTACATCAAGTAAACTCAATGCATCACTTCAGTCTAATGTAAATATGTGATTTTCTTTAAATAATTCTGTAATGTTGATACAACGTATATGACAAAAGCACTCTACACTTTTTAGTGCTAAACCATTCAGCTCTTAAAAAAAACACTGTCTTATGGACCTTCCTCCTACAGCAGTGTCTTACCTCATTTAGGCAGGGGAACCTCTTCTCACTCTCCAGTCTGGATGGAGGAGGCACCTCTGCTTCGCTGGGTGGGTCCAGGGATAGAGCATCCAGGAAGAGGCTCTCTGGGGGTCGGAGGCCCTCACTGGGCCGCGTCCTCCCCAGCCCCCTCTCTTCCAGAGTGGCTTCTGAGTCCGAGTGGGAGCGGGACGGCACGCAAGGAGCTGCACGGGGAGATCGAGGAGACCTGGGGGCCTTACAGGGACTGTCCTGAGGTGAGAAGACATGTGGGACTCCGCCTTCTGACAGAGGAACCCCCTCAGAGTGACGGAATGGGAGCTCCCGCTGCATCTATAGGGGAGAGATGAGAGAAAAAAGAGGGAGGCAGAGAGGAGAGGTTGTCAGATTTACTTCACAGGTACACTTTGTTTGGTTACAGTTTGTAAAAGATTTACAGCTGCTTAGTTAAATAAAAGCTGCATGCACAGTAAATCTTGCAGATTATGAGGATGTAAAACAGTGAGTTATGATTACAGAATAATCTCTCGTTTATAAGGATGTCAACAAATCACCCAATATAGCCTTTTCTTCCTGACCTCTTCCTGCACTCACTGAGTCAGCTAACACTAACTCAGCTATCGCTTACAGACAGACACTACAGGTCAAAAGTTTTACAACATCCCCATTTTTCCAGTTTTTATTGACATTTTAGAAATTTAAGTCCAGTGAATAACCTGAAATAGTACAAAGGTAAGTTGTTAACTGCAAAAAAACAAAAACAAAAAACAAAACTGAACAATAAACTGGCACATTTTACAATAACAAAAAAGGTCTTTCTTCAAGGCACAAGTCACTGATTGGTTAACAACTTACAGTTGTTCTGCAGCAATGAAAGTTCCAACTTTTGTTGAAAACTTACAAACCCTCTGTCTGCTGTCTTTGAGTTTTTGCATGTAATGCTGATAGTAAATAATGGTAAATCTGAAAAAATATGTTTTCTTTGGGGACCATTTTACTTTACAACTCTCTGCACGTACCCCTCCGCCATGAATGGATATAGCAAAACATGTTTTATGCCAAAACGATATCTCAAAACTATCACAAAACAACGTCTCAGGCATTTATTTCAGCACTCAGTGAGTTTCTGCCAGTAGATCACCTTATAACTTTAGAACAAATAAAAATAAACATCTATTTAATAAAAAGTAACAATAATTTCTTTTTTTTTTTAGTTTGTTAGATGTTAGCAGGCACTAAAAGGGAGCTTTTAGAGGCACTAAACTCTTCAGACGTCTGCCCTGTCACCACCCTTTGAACAATTCTGACTTGGTAAGTTTCACATTAAACCACTTTGAATGCCGTGTTTAAACTTTTTGTGATCAACTTTTTTTTACCTTTTAACAGATATGTAACTTACATTCCTGTTCACTGCAGACAAACATGAATAGGTACGGTCAAGATCACAGTCTATGCTAGTACAAATATAAACACTGTCACAACAAATAAGAAATTAAGTGTAGGGTGAGTTTTGTGGGCATTTATTTTATGGGATAGTACTAAACTCTTAAGAGCTGATTTAAGCCACATATTCGGATTAAACCAATTTTTAGCAGCAGTTAGACCCGCAAGATTAATCGTTTTTGAGTTAATGTGAAGGTGAAGAGACTATCATCATTTACTGAAATGAGACATGGATTTTTGTTAATAGGAATTTCAAGCATATCAGACAATGTGGACAATATATAGTCCCAGAATTTGCTAATCTCACTGCAATCCCAAAACATATGCAGAAAAGTGCCGACAGAATCTGTGTTCCAAACAGTACAATAAGGTCTGAGAACCCTGCCCAAGTATGGTGTGGAAGTTAAATCAGGTGTGGTAGTGACAGATTTGAACAAACAGTGCAATGGTTGGAAGCATGGAGGAAAAATCAGGAACCAAATCTGTGATCTTCTACTAGCTCAAAACATCTAAGTTTTTCAAAACAAGAAATTCTTTTCACTTTTTCTTAAATAGGTGTTTATTTAGAAGTTATAAAGTGTTCTACTGGGAGAAACTCAGTGACTGCTGAGATAAACTGTCTAGGTATCTAAGTACTGTACTGTATTTGAACTACATTTAGAGATGGTACAGATCTGATACAAGGTATTGCAAGGTATCAGGGCAAAATCAATAGAAAATCCTGTAACAAATCTATCCTGAAACAGCTCACACTCACACTGTGAGATGTGACGTTGCTAGCTGTGTATTTCTCCCTGTGGGGGAGTAGACTGTTTGAGTAGTTTGAGGATGATGGGCTACTTTTAGATGCTCATCTGAAGTGAAGTGCTTGAATTAAGAACAGCTAATTTTCAAGTGTAGTAGTTGTAAAAGAAACAATAATGGGTTGCTCAAAGTTTCAAAAAAGTGGTATCACATCATCTTTAGACTTCATCATCAAAGTATTTTAATAAGAGCACTGCAGTGCAAAACAACAGTATCTTAGGAAGTGAAATGATCTTAAATTTAGTCAACATATTTTAATATTTCTCATTTTGAGCTTACTATAAGATTATTTCTTGACATTACAATTTACTTGTTTTAAGTTTATGAAGTAAAATCGTCTTCCTATATTGTCAGAACATTTTGCTTGTTGTGAGAAATATGCTTGAAACAAGCAAAATTATCTGCTGATACAGTAAGATAAATGTACATAAATAAAATTATTTGAAACAAGTAAAAATGGTCTAGAAATAAGTTTATGATATGCTTATGATAAGCTTACAACAATCTTAAAATGAGAAATATTAGATATATTGACTAGATTTGAGATCATTTCACTTACTAATATATTATTTGTTGCAGTATGTGACTATCAGGTTATGAGGCACTGCCTGACCTTCTCCATTTTGTGGCGCAGGTCGCGGATGCTGCGGTCCCACTCCTGCCGCTCCCTCTCGAACCTCTCGAGAAGTTCACTCCTTTCCCGGCTCCAGCGCAGCTCCCCGTGCTGCAGCTTCCAGCGCAGCTCCATAGCCAGGCTGTGGCTGTCCGCCAGGAGCCTCTGCTGCTCCTCTCGCTCTCTCTCACGCTCCTGCCGGGATGAGTCCGCCCCGCCCGCTGACCCTGACGCTCCTGTTCTCGACTCCTCTAGCTAGCGAGAGAACATACAATCATACACAGGCATACAATCATGCACTCACATATGCAGACAGAGATTCATCATTTTTATCTCCAGGTTACAGATTTCTTAGCAGCACAATATCCTTTAATAAGTTTAAAATCTGCCTCTTCAGAAATTTTAATTGAAAGCTAATGGGGAGCTGCAGGGATAAATGGAATATGAGATAAAAGTCCAATCATTTAGTTTTCACAAAGGACTAGGCCAGGATTTTTAACACAGACACGGCCTTTAAATGATCTGCCCATTGATTGAGTTATAAGGTTAAGTTCTTATTCATTTTAGATTTTCTAAAACGTCTGGCCAGAAAATGCTGCTGTTAAGCACTGAAATGTCAAGTCACATACTATTTGTTTAAAGATTCAGACTTGGTGAGTAACAGAACACATCTAATAATGTTACCCTATTAAGATACAAAAAGGTAACTGTTTATGTTGCAGCTTCAGAAAAAAATATAATACTCAGATTAGATATGATATTAAAAAAACAGGTAATTAGCATGACTGTATTCAAACCATTCTTACACAGAGCACTCCTGATGATTTTCTTGCCTATAGTCATCTCCATGACATATACCTTTACTTTATAAGCAATCTTTGCTTATCACCTTTACAGTGATGCTAATTTCTCCCAGCATTCTACTAGCCCTATGAGGATATAATATGTTATGTTAGCACCAAGCAAATTATGTTGTACATTCATTGTCTCACTCTGGGTTTATTAACACTTATGGCAGCTGTGGCTTAATTACAAATATTTAAAGCTAAAGCAAAACATTCAAGTAGCGCAATCTTAAAGTGCGTTGCATCTTTGAAATTAATTAAACAGTAAATATATTCTGAAAGGAGAATTCTGTAAAATTTTCTGCATAATCCAGTCACTGAGATGGAAACAAAGTTATTCAGAGTAGTTTGATGTGAAATCATGATGTTCATTGTAGAGAAACTTACCCACTCAGGTTTCTTTACAGTGGCGTATTACAGAAACTTATTAACTTTGAAATCTTATCTGTTTAGTCGCCATGATGACTTCAGTTAGGACTGAAGCTATTACAGAACAACAGTTCTTAAGTTCTTAATCTTTTTTATCTTTCAGATAACAAAACAGTATTACAGAAACATCCTAAATTCTGTCTTAACTTTAAGACAACCCCAGGGGTGTCCTAACTTCTGTTTCAATAGTTTTATGCAGTGACAGGCAGATTAGTTCACTATAACCAGGATAATGACATTAAATTTATGAAAATGGTGCTTTGAGTTTTTTTTTTCTCACAGCCTTTTTAGAAACTGAAACTGGAGAGCAGTGACGCTCTGATAAACAGCATGAAGTGCTGTCACAATATTCTTAACTTCAACTTTATTGTGCTTTAGTTCTGTTTGCCCCTTTTTACATCAGTAACACACATTGTTACATCAGTAGCTAGCTGTCTGGATAACTTGATTATTTTGATTATATACTTAAGTTTCAGCTGTGTGCTTATGTTGGGTTGCTGGGTAACAGACATGACAGTTGCTTATCAATGATTAAGATTTCCTAATCTGAGATAAAACACTGTAAGATAAGGTTCCTAAATTGAGATAAGATTTGCTTCTGTTAAACACATTAGTGAAAAATCTTGTCTTGACCTGTCAGATCTTAAGACAAAAAGATAGGAAGTTTCTGTAATACGGCCCCTGGTCTGAAACGCAACGTCTACAACGCTGATATAGGCATTTTATTTACTATCCAAAACTACCAGTGAACCTCCATGTGTCTTCTGAGTTTTTATATGTAAAGCTAAAAATGGTAAAACAGTGGTAAATTTGAAGAAAATTCATTTTGAGGACTATTTTGCCTTACAACGCCCTGCATGTAGACCACCACCATGAATGGATTAAAGAAAACATATTCTAAGCCAAAATCATATCTCAAAGCTATTGTAAAACAATGTCTCAGGCATCAAGCAGTGTATAACCATTCTACATAATAGATTTCTGTGAGGTAACTTTTAGAAGCATTAAACTCTTCAGACGTCTGTTTCCTATTAACACCACCGTGAACTGTTCTGACTCCTAAGTGTCTCTAAAACAGAGCATGTCACACCAAACCACACTGAATGACTTTGCTGACACCTGAACCACTTAATCACGTAGAAATTAAAAAAAAATGCATTGCCTTTGTGATTTATACTTTTAGTTTGTATTCATCCTGTAGGTTTCTGGTTTGGATTTGTCTTCCTTGATGTTTGGTTCTATGTTTTATTTCTATTGTTTGGTTTACTTTTGTTCTTTTGTTTAATTCTGTTCACTAAGGATATCTCTTTTTTCACCACAGCTACTAAGTTCTTGCATTCTGTTAAATCTGATATAAATAAAAGCAACTCACACTTGCATCCAGCCTCATTGCCTACACTCTCAGAAAAAAAGAATGCAAGACCAAACACAGATGCAGCGAGATGCCTGTTCAAACAACAGGAATAAAACATAGAACCAAACACAGATGAAGACAAATCTAAACCAAAAACCTACAGAATGAATACAAACTAAAGGCACAAATCACAAAGCCAAGACACAAAGTAAACACGGGGTATAATATACCGAGAACAAACAACAAACACCTGGGACTAATGAGTGGGCAGAGCTACAGACAAGAAATAGGTGAGTGGCATAACAAAAGGGTGGAACAAGGGAGAAGCCAAAAAACAAAAACAGAAGCACATGGAAGTGACACAGGGGAGAACGTAAACAAGGACATGGCAAAATGGGCAAGGCAGGGCAATGTGTTACAAATACAGTACTTTTCTGAATAAGTTACAGATTACATTTTAACAGGTAATCAGTAATCTGTATCTGAATACATTTTAAAAATAACCCTATCAACCCTAGAAGCACTGAGTCATTAATGACAGCAGCAGTGAATGAAGGAGGTTGATGTCTTATGAGAATCCTACATCCTTTTGTGTTACTCCACATCACTCTACATATTTTCATTTGTCTGTCTGTTGCCATAAAACAAACAGGGACAGAGCAGGACGACAGCCTAATCGTTCCCATCAGATCAGTGAGACAGAAAGCGGCTTATAGCGCATGCAGCATTTGACTCAGACACATGCTCACTTTTAATAGACTATGACTTCTTTTGAGAGCCAAGCCATGTAAATATAGCCAGCTATTCATAGAGGTCCCCTTACTGCTGATGACCAAAAGCTTCCAAAGTCATCTTAACCACAGAGTAAAACAAGTGAAGAGTGGTTAGTAGCTAGTAGGTAGTAACTGTTGAGACATACAACTGTTGGTATAACAACCATTTTTTAATCATTTGACAATGCTGGACTTTCAAATATTTGTTTCTCCATCTTAAACTCTACAGAATGATATTTATTTTATTGATTAACAAAGGGGATGTTGAATATTCATGCACTTTGCTCTGTACATAAACAGGGACACGGCTCTGAACATGACCGCTGTATGCACTACGAGTTTATACCCTGGTGTAGAGTGTGATATGGTTGGTCTAAAGCAGTGGTTCCCAAGCCTATTTCTGTAGTAGCCCTGCTCTGTGTAGTGTAGTGTTTCCTCTGCTGAAACAAACCACTACAGCTCAGGAAGGGCTTGTTAATTAGCTAACTCATTGCTTTTTTCATTGCTTTCATTTCTTGCATTTTTATTATTTTTGCCTGTTTTACTCTTTAATGTTCTGACAATTTTCTGTGTATTTTGCCAGTTTTTCAGTCAATATGGGATTGCTGGAGCCCTGCACGAGGCGCATAGCTTTAGTCCCATAGTCACGGGATCCTGCAGTTCCTCCATCAGCTGATAAGTGGAAACACATTTGCAGTTTTGGGACTGTGAAATGAAGAAGTAAATTGTTTTGCCCAGCAATAAAACAGCTATTTTCTTTCTAGGGAAACTAAATGTCTAGGTCAATTACTTTTTATCTAGCTGATTTAGCCAAAATCAGCCAGTTTTCCAAGCTGCCAGTGGGCTAAAAGGACAATGTTAGGCGTAACGAACCGGCGCTAGCTGTCTAATATTTGATCAACTAGTGGCTGAATCTCAAATGGAATCTCAAATACTCCCTTGCACAGCATGTAAGTCTTCCACATTCACATGGTGCATTATATATCTAATAGAGAGCCATTTATATTCAACCATAGTCTGCATGATGTAACATTTACTGCACTATTTGGGTGTAGAAGGCATGGGTTTATGATTTATGTAGTGCATTATATAGGAATTTAGCCAGTGTTTTGTTTTCTTGTTCTTCTTATACCTTCTTATATTGTTATTCCTTTAGTGACGGCCATAGTGTGTAATATTTTTTCATATTTTATAATATAAAGGAACACAGCTGATTAAATACACTGCTGCTAATGAATAATAAACAGATGTGATGCCAATTTGTAGTAAGGTAAGTTAGATATATTTGGGTCATAATCACTGATACTAACTTGCGACCTGTCTGCAATGATTATATTCAATGTGCCAGTTCTACTTTGTTGAAATGTCCTACCAAAGCATTTATTTATAGGTGACTATAAGTGAGATATTTTGATAGACTAAATCACTTGATCGGAAAATAGTATAGGTATATGTAGGTTATTTTGATAGTCTTATTCACCATATTGGAGATAGTAATATAAAGAGTCTGTTAAATACACTTGAAGTAAGGCTGAATTGGCATCAAAAACACAATAAAACCTTTGTAGAATGAAGTTACTATACTGACGACATGTAATCGTGCTATGGGATTACTCGGTGGACAAACTGTCCGATAACCTTGTTCCCAATTCTCTGGGTTTTGTGTTCACGGTCCAAAAACTGCTAAGTGTTTCCACTTAGCAGTTGATGGAGGAACTCTAGCTAGGTCTCTCTCACACAACGCTACGCCATGTTGGATGTCCGGGCCTAGCATCACGCTGGGTGGGAAGTGGTGTAGTACTGTGCTGTTTCTGTATGGTGTTTGGGAACAGACATCACATTGCGCTGCATTATGGACCTCATTTACATGTTGATTTTGATTGGTTCTTGATTAAAACACTGGTGATATTGCAGCGTTAAAAGACACCCGTACACTAATCACCGAATAGGTTTTATTCACTGTGCCGCTTTGCAGGGCATAGTGCTGTTGCCACTGAGTTTTATGAATTTGGCCCTCTGTGTCCAGCTGTGTGGTACTGTTGCTCAGCATTGTGGGAGTGGCTGTACCTGTGCTATGTGGCTCCTCATCTCGATGCGCTGTATTTCCCAGGCTGCTCTCTCACTGGCCAGCGTCTGCTGCAGCTGACAGCGTCTCTGTGCCTCCTCCCGCAGCTCCGCCCTCAGCTCCTCCAGCAGCAAGCGCAGGGCATGTAGCACCCGCCTGCTGTCCCCCACCTGGGAGAAGAGACAGAAGAGGAGGGGAGAGAGTATGATAAGGTTCCAATATTCAAATAGTTCTCATGGGACATAAATATTTGTCACAGTTATTGCCAGGTACTGCAAAAGAGCAGTTATTTTATGTGTAGCTCTTTGAAACAAATGGAGAAATTCTGTGAAAAGTGTAGGCTTTAAACTTTTAATTGACACCACATGAAACAGAAATTTTGGTAAGACATTGGTAGAAATTTTCCTATGAATACTTTATTCATTATGCTTTATAAATGCATTTATAATGTGTTTTATTTTATACATAATACGTTAAAATGCCTGGCATTTGCTTGTATAGAATTACATGCATAACATGCGTAAAACAAGACTGTATAGCTTATAATGTCAGGTTTTGTAACACACTATGATCTGCACTCTTAAAAACAGTGTCAGCATAACCAGGCAAATCCAGGCAAACATTTGTTGGGTATAATCAATTCTGCCCCTAACAGCCATGGGAGACACGGAATCTGACCTTATAAAGTCATATATTCTAGCTTTATAAAGTCTTATGCATGCAACTATAACTACTTAAGAACAATGATACAAGCTTATGCCCAGTATTATAATGTATTATATATACCAAAGAATGTCTTATAAATATCTAATGCATTTTGAATACAGGATTCAAAGGAAGTGTTACCGAAATTGTAATATAATATGGAGTCGATGAATTGTAATGGAAAGAAAAAAATACATTTGCCATGTTTTTGCTATGCACTGAAACAAATGGAAAAAAAGTTGGAAGCGCAAAGTCAAACTTGTCGATACAGTCAGAGACCAACCACTGATTTATCTAATTTCCGGTCAAAACGGTCAAAGAACAAATTTAATCACTCTCAGGGTCAGAAAAATCTTCATTATTTAAAAATTTTCATTATTTAGTGTGTCCACCTACTGCCTTTATTCTATTCTTTTTGGGAGACTCACTTTCAGTTTTTCAAAGAAATCTGCAGGGATATTTTTCCACACCTCCAAAGTTCAGTCTTAGCAGTTGGTTGCATTTTCTGCTTCTCACAATCCAAATAATCCCAAACACATTCAGGGATGCTGAGATCTGGACTCTGCCCTGTTTCTGTGCTCCTGTGCAAATGTTCTTCTTTTTCTCTATTTCCTTTTCTCAGTAATAGCTTGGCAGCTACACATCCTTTCAGACTCATAGCGTTGAGGTGTCTTCTCACAGTGGAAGGATGGACAGAAACACCTGTGGATTTTTTTCAGATCTGAAACAAGAGTGGAACTTGATTTTCTCCTCTCTCTCCAAGATGAAAGCTTTAAGTGCTGGTTATCTGATAGTGACTTTTTGGCCTACCAGGTCTTGCATGGACATTAGAAATCTCATTTCTCTGTTTTTAATCATTTGTTAATCATTTTTTGACCTCTACTTATTTAACTTTGACTTTCCTTTTTCTTACACAAGCAGAATATCTTACATCTAATCTCCTCAGACAGTGAGCTTATGTGAATGTCAGTATGAAGGGGAACATAATGTCAGTGAGAGCTCTGGGAACAGCTTTTGTTGGGAGGACACAGCTGTAACTCGGTAAGATTGGAAGAATTGAAGTGGCAGCAGGGTGCACAAAACTAAAGAATGGAAAAATTAAATACTAATAGATTTGATATTATACTTACTGTTGGAGGATTATGTGTCATTTTCTGCTAAATATCTATCCTGCTTTTTTAATTTTAATACTGAAAATAAATAACTTGTACTTAACTTGTTCTTCATGGCTGATTAGTACAAATCATTACAAATGATTACTACAAAACAATCTCAGCCCTGTGCATATATACAGTGCTGTATGCTTGTGATATATAGAGACACCACAGTTATGTGCATGACTGCGTATGTGTGAAGAGAAGGTGTAGGAGTTGGGAGGTTAATCAGAATACAATAACTAACTCCACCTCTCTTGAGGTATTTAATTAGCACCACTCGAATGCCTGCCAGCCTACCAAGCAGCAGCCGTAGACATAAGCGATCCACTCCTGCTTGTTCTGTAGTGCCTGTGAGAGCTCTTATCAGCCTCCTCTATCAGTCTGCCTCTGTTCAGTCCCACATTGGGAGCTCTCTGCCTGCCTAAGAATGCATTACATACAGTGCAATTGCAATGGAGCACTGTCTGTACACAGACTCAGCAAGACTGTAGCCTGCTGCTTCAGGAGTGCTGCCTTAGAGGTAGAGTGTTACAGTCCAGTCAAATGCAAAAGTCTGAATGCCCCTGGTCAAATTACATGTTTTGTTGGGGCACCTGAGTGGAGATTGCGAGTTCAATGCCTAGGGATGCCACAGCCATCCGTGGCTGGGAGTCGAGGAGAGCATCGTTGGCTTCATTCTCTCTAGGTGGTTGGGATCGTCCTCCTTTTGAAAAAGATGTGGTGGCTGACCTTACATGACAAGTTTTGGGTAGGTTTTATTTTACCCCAATATATTAAATTCAGAAAATAAACACTAATATTGCATTAAAATCCTCTTTATAGAGGATTTTTCCTCTTAGGTTGGCAAAAATTTACTACTCCCTATTACAAATTTATTCTATCAGCCAAGACACGTTTGGTGTTTAAAATTTGTTTCTTTAGTTTTGATATGTAGCTATGTGGCTAATGTAAATAACATGAATGGAATCTTATCTAAACCAATTACCGTTGCTTAAAACTTTGAAGATACACATAAAATAATTAACTTCAGATAACCCTTAAACTGCTATTGTTTAATAATGTGTATGTACTCTCTGCTGTACAGTATCAGCAGCTCTGATGTGTCATAGTCATGCAATAGTTTTATGTGGATAGGCAAGGCAAATTAGCCTCGATAAACATCCATTTAAGGAATGTTAAAGAGTTATAACTACACAAGAGGGCGGGAAATGAAATAAACGTGTTAACACCCTTAGTGGTTGCTATTAAACTTGATTGTCTTTGATGTACTTCAAACAGCTGCCACACAGTCTTCACTTATTTTCTTTCAAATCTGCGTAATTAACAGTGTAGGAGCAAAGCTCAATATCAAAGCAAGATAAAAAAATGATGTGCCGTTTAGAGTAGTGCTGTACTGAGAATGATCCACCACCCACATAACACCTGGACAACAGTGGTCCTTAATTCTAGGGAGCACACACTTGTACGTGTGTGTGAGTAAGGTGGTAATCAAAATGTTGATGGTGATTTGTTGAGATATTGGCCCATTTTATCACTTCATGAGATGAGTAGAACATTTTTTCATGAAAATATGTAAAACATGCACAAAAAGTAACTCCTTTGGAAGACCGAAAAAGTCCAACAGGAAAATGACTCTCATACGAAAACTACAAAAAGATGGACTATAAAAAGGTACGACCTGAATTAGAACGAGTCAAACTACAATAATATATGGGTAATTTGTGGATATATGTGGATAACAAAATTACTGTCTGGAGTTACTTTAGGAACTGTTCCTTTTTCCCCAAAAAATTTCAATGAAATATGTGGGTTATTAAAATTTTCAAATACTGGTTGGATAGGGAGTGTCACGAAGTGGCCTCACACCAAATGAATACAGAAAAAAACTGTAGGCAGCTTCCTATATTTATACTTTTTTAAATCTTTGTGCGTGTTTTTTATTTTAAAGGTGTTTTAATTTACTACAAATATCATAATGGCATTGAATACGGCACATGTTGCTGTACAGATTTGATTATATAACAAAAAAAAATCCTTTCTGACTGACATAACAATTCAGCATTTCAAGATGTATAAAATCAAAGCCGCATACAAAATGCAACACTTAGGCCTAATGAAAAATGGATGGGAACAGAGTGAGTGTTTTCTGCTTTTACCCAGACAAGGCAGCGGATTGCTGGGGCTGGAGCACTCAGCTCTGTTTCTAGTTTCACAGTGGGAAAATGTCCCTAGCGCTGAGACCAGTGGACACATTCAGCACTCACATTGCTTTCTCTTCCCTATCTTTACTTAGGACTCTCCATTACCCTGTCAAAATGCAATAAAACAGGAGAATGAAAGCACAGCAAGTGACTAACAGGGGCCATAGTTATAGCCTACAGTTTTCTAATGTATTATTTTTTCCCCCTAATGTCCACTTATGACATTTGTTTGGTTTTATGTAACAAATACAGTAATTCATTCTAAAGGTCTTTACACATTGAGCTCAGTTTATTTGTGCGATTTATTCAGATGCCAACAATGATTTCCAGCACGTGTAACTGATGATAAGCCACACACTAAACGTGATTTTTCAGATGCTGCAATATTAATATTTTTGCCCTCTTTTGCCAGCGACATGAACTCTCTGACCAATCACGGTCATCTCTTTCATTGGCATGGCTATACCAAGATGACAGATCAGCTGTGTTCCAGCAACTGGAACATTTTTGCAAATGTCATAATGATCACAATCTCCAAAAGCAGCTCAAACAGGGCTAAAACACTCCTACAGCATTTTAATTCACAAAAACCGCAGCACAGCAATGTTTCGCTTTGCAGACTGTGTCATACTGTCATGCAGTTTGAAGCTAAATGCGCGCATAGAATTTGCCAGTAGATTACATCCACTTTCTTCTGGTTGCTATAAAGAAGCAAAGGAAGACAACCAACTCTGTCCGGGACTGATAACCTAATAACCAATCAACTACCAACTTTAGTGAGGGGGAACCAATGGTGGCCAAATTTCTATGGGGATCAGTGCTACTCCAGGCCCCTCTCAGACATGTTAAAGAAATTGACACATTAAACTAGCAGTGCTGTGGCCTTCCAGACCTGAAAGTGCTCTTTATATCTTATGGTATTGTATATTAGCACTAGAGGTTGGCGATATGGCAAAATGTAATATCACGATACACGCTATGACATGATACACATTTTTTCTGGCATCTGATACATTGGAACAAACAAAGTAGCTGCACAGTTAAAGAAAATACTAACAAAAACTATGCAAAATGCATTTAAACAGGACTACCTTCTGCTCTTTTATAATGAAATGTATCCACGACATACTCAGAAAAGTGCATTGTTATGTATTGTGACATAACTTATCACCATAACAATAAATATTGCCATATTGCCCAGCCCTATTTAGAACTTAATATCAGCATCACAATGTGGATTCTTGCCAAAGCCATGATAGAAAACAGTACAGTACCTGTTTCTGATACTGGAATCTTTCCGGTGAGGGCAGGAGCGGTCCAGGTTCAGAGACGTCTCCCCACATCGGCTGGGGACACACTTTATCCTCCCGCTCTGTTTCCCCCTCTCCATGCTCCACCACCACTCCCACCTCTGGAATACTCTCCAACCGCTCATACTGAACAACAGAGTGACACAGACGGTTGAATTATTTAAGGTAACACTTTATTGTAGGGTACTGTTCATAAACCTACATAACCATTTCTGAAGGTGGATTTTAATAGGATTAATTTGTCACAAAGGCTGCTTTGATGATGAGTTGACATAACACCTATTTCAGGTGACATTGTTTTTTTTCCTTACATTGGGTTGTTTGTTTTTTGAATGTTGTGGCATGTTATGGCATGTAGTTGGCATATTATGACATATTATGACAACTACATCCTTAGCAGATGTACCAACAGCTGCAGGGAAACACAGGGAAAAGCCTGTATTCTAGGACTGTTGTAAGACTGGGCTACTGCAGACTGATGGACAGTGCACACCCAAATAAATACTTCATAATTGCATCTCCAGTCTCCTGGCTCGCTCCTTGGCATGGAAAACATTGGCAAATATAAAGCACATTACGTCCTCAGTAAAACTCAAATTATAAATGGACTGTAATTGCTTAATGTAGTTTTGTTTTCACACTCAGGTTTATAATATAATCTATTTTTTACACCAGCTTACAAATGTTGAGTTTATTGGTTAGCACGTTAAACAACTTAGATACTTAGCTGTGTCAAAGCTACAGCACTGGTATAAGGATTTTACCTAAAGGCCATAGAAAATACACACCTCTGCAATTACAATGTCATGATATCTGCATAATAGTAAGAGGAAACTCACTTCATCTAAGGGTAGAGAATATACAGAACTCTGTCATTACAGGGTAAAGACTGTCAGTGTGAAAACCTTCACTGTATAGGAGTTTTACAGCAGCTTGTCATGTCCCTGTTACCACAGAGAATGCTACAGAGAACCTTTTTGAAGTACCACAAGCCTAGCCATGAGTAGGCCTGGCTAAGCCTGGGCCTACCCAGATGCTGTGCCAGTATACTTTAGCCTAGGATTATTAGGTTTAGGTTTTTTAAGGTTGCTGTCTGATTTTAACTCAATCATGTCTTTTTCAGGCCCACCCATTATGCCATCATGCTTTAGCCTATGATAAATACCTTTAAGTTTGCTGTGTTATTTTTTCTTGTCTTTGTACATCACAGCTGTCTGATTTTTGCTCGGTTATGCTGTCTTCATTCGGCAAAAAATGTGCTTTTCACGAGTTGACATGCTTTATAGTGAAGGGTGTTGCAGTATTGGTCGGATTTATGTGAAACCAGCATTCTGGTTGATGTGTACACAGTCTCGCTATTGTTTTGTATCACCACAGGGTGTTAGCATTGGAATACTTTGGGCGATGACTGCACTGCTGTCAGCAATAGGCTATAGCCTGATGTTATGACATTGTAGTATTATGTGCATTTGGAAAAGTTGCTAATTTTTGCCTATGCCACTGTGAAGTACTTACTTTTGTTCAGACATTCTGACTTGGCAAGCTATGTCACATCATCAGCATTATGCCACTGAGTTACAAAGTAAGATGCCATAATGTGCTGTCATTTCAACCCTGAAATGACAACCTAATGACAGAAAAAAAAATGTCACCTGACAGATGGTATTACACCTATTGGAATAAGTGTTTATAAATGTTTGTGTAGGTCTGTGTCAGTTGTCATGAAGGTCTTATGCAGGTGTCATGTAGCCTTATGAACATACGTTCTACAGTACTTCACTATAAAGACTATACAAATGCTTTATGAACTGTACAAATGCTTTAATAACTGTGGTATAGACTGCCTAAGACAAATATGTCTTCAGTGTTCTCTGGATAAATGTCAGTAAGTGAGACTGTTCACAGTAATCAATGTGGTCTGTTTTCATGCTTCATGCAGCCATTATATAAATCACTTTGAGCAATACTGCAGTTCAATTCAGTGACTAGCCTTCTAGCCGAATGACTCCAAACATTATTGATTTGCTTTACAGGGATGTGGGAAATGAACATTTGTTTACTGAGGAGCACAGCAGCTGCTGGACCCGACAGGCTGTGAAATTAGAACATCATGCAAGATATGCAAAAAGAAAATGTTGATTGTTCATTATATGATCTAATCAAGTACAAACTGACTTGGCTGAGTGAAGATTACATCAATGCATTATAAAAGAAATATGACATGGGAAGTCTTTCCAAAGTTAAACATGGCTTTGCATCAGCATTCATTTCAGCATTTGCATAGTTTCATCATCTCTTGAAAGTGGAATTCCTCAAATTTTTCAAAATTTCTACATAATTCAATCAGAGTGGTTTAACTTAAAATGTCACAAGTCATTCAGAGTGGTTTAATGTAAAATGGTTCATTGTAATGTAACTTACCGATGCATAATTCTTTACAGTGATGGTGACTGGAACTAGGGGTTAAGCTGGCTACAGCACTAATATAGCTATTCTTTTAACAATACAAAACCACCAGTAACCTACACATCTTCTGAGTTTTAATATGTAATGTTGATAATGGTAAAAAAAAGAAAAAAGTTTGGTCTGCCTTACATTGCCCTGTATGTACCTCTCTGCCATTACTGCACTTTAAAAAATGTTTTAATCCAAAACTCTCATAACGATGGTAAAACAATGCCTCCTCAGGCATGACACAGCATATTCATAATAATTTCATGCCCTAACTTTCTGTGAGGGGGCTTTTAGAGGCATTAAACTCTTCAGACGTCTGGTTTCTATCACCCCTCCTGTGAAAAATTCTGACTTGATAAGTGTCTCTACAATGAATCATTTTACATTAAACCACTCTGAATGACTCTGATAAGATCTTAATGAATTAATAATCCCAATTTTTTTGAAAAATTATACTTAAGCACTGTGAAGCTGTTAAGGTTTTCCCATTCCCTATCATAGAAATGACCGTCCCACTGGCAGCCACATCTTTCCGTGCCATTGGCTCATACCTAACACTCATTTCTGGCTTAGGCCACACCCACTTCTACTTTGTACACAAGTAAAGCCCTAACGCACTGTTTATGTGAACTGCCACTGTGGACTGTAATCTCTTCACAATGTGGCTTTTACTATCATCACTTTTACTATAATCACTTTGGAAACCACTTTGGCTCGAGCAGACGTGTGGTTTTGTTTCCTCACTGAGCTTCACCTCAGCGTGCGCCCCCTCCTCAGCAATGTCGGTCCTGCGACCGAGCCTCCAGTGCTTGAGGATCCAGCGGAGCTTCATGTACACGATGATGGTGTTCTGCCGGAACAGACGTACTTCCTGCTGCAGCAGAGCTCTTTCCTGAGGCCATGCCAGCTCGTGCGACTGCAGCCCCTGCAGCTCCAGGCACCGTCGTGCCTCCAAGCGTCTCCTCTCCTCCTCCTGCAGAGAGAAAGAGAGAAAAGGAGTCAGTGGAAATATTAAGGCCATCACAGTATCAATATAATACTGAAAAAAGTTGTGGCCAAATTAAAGCAGAATTAAGTGTTCTGCTGCTAGCATCTTAGTACCAAATACCACAGGGCACCTTCAGAGGTCTTGTAGAGTCCATGCCTTGACCTCATCGACACAGAGGACCAACAGCATACTAGGCATAATATAAATATTCGGTTTATATGTGTAGTATTTAATTAGTGCTCCACAGAATCTCAAAAACCAGAATTAAAAATTGTGCCAAACCTAAAAAACAATAGTATGGATTCACCCCTAGTAAAAACATAGTCTGTATAAAGCAAATGAACAGAACACGATTTTCATAATGCAGGTTACTGGAAAATGCAATGCAGGTTAAAATCAACCTGGAATCAAAATAACCTTTTTCACCTTGTTAGTTTCTGTCCTTGGTCATATTAAGAATGATCCATCATATCATATAATTTAAAAGACAAAATTCTTGTGAAGATGTAACGATTTTTGCCTGCCTCTAAAATGCCTTCTGAATTTTGATTACATCACCATGCATCTGTGGGGGTGGAAAGGTAAAATTAACCAATAATATTTAAGATAACATTTTACAACCCCTACCATCATTGAACAAAAATGCTGAGCTAGCTTTGAGACCCCCATATTTCTCTCGTAAAGATAGCACGTTACAGACAGAAAATGCGTTTTGATTTCAAATTCAAGGCTGCACTAATAGGGACAAGAAAAGAGAAGCTCTTTTAAGCTGAGTCTATCTTGTGCTTTCTTTATGTACACTGAGATTAAGGACTTTTACCCACAGCAAACATAAATAACATGACAACATTATGTGGCGTCATACATATGAGTCTATGGTTAAACTACATTCCCATAAACTCTTAAAAGATTTTTTTAATTCTTCAGCCCTAAATCTATATATGGGCAATGTGTTTACTGTTAAGCAGGTCTAGTTCATCATTAAGCACCTGGCCCTGAGGAGTTCCTTACACACTCACCCAAAAGTGTGAACTCAGTCATATTATCCTCTCACTACAGTTACAGGATCTGCTTTGAAAAGTCCACGGGCAAAATACAGCCACAGAGCAGGTCACTGACATTTAATCTTATCTCTGTGCTGCACAATGAAAAATCTGAACCTGTGACCTTGTTGTTATGGATCTGAACAGGGCTGGCGCCAGTTATAGGCAGAACAGGCAATTGCCTAGAGCCTCTACCTTGTCGTGGGCTTCCACTTCATTGCTCGGCATCAACAAAAAAGAGTAAATGAATATTAATTTTCTTATTAGTTGTTCGCCACTGGTCATAAAACCAATCAATGGCACAGTCTGTCCGTCATAGACCCTCCTATATAAAGAGATCTGATATGCCCCTGAAGAGCAAGCCCCAGTCGCGTAATCATTACTGCTGCTAGTGTTATGATGCTGCACTTTTTTTCCTCAAAAGAAAAATCAACAGCAGCTTAAATCATGCACTGAGAAAAAAAATTCAGAAACAAATTAGATGAAATCCCTTAAACTAGGGACTGAATTGTGGAAACTGTATTGTGTATCATAATGAAAAAATATTTTAAATGGTTATGAGTACAAGTAAAATATTTAACTTTTTTGTATTATGTAACAGTATTACAGTCAATAACTACCCACAAACTAGAGATGGAGCGTTCAGTGTTTTTGAGGCCGATACTGACCGCTGATTGCCTTTCAGCACAGTCGGCCGATAGCCGATATCGATCAAGGGCAGGGCTGAATGCCAGAATTATAGGCACAGAAGCGAATCTCAACAGCAAAACAAACAGACCCCTCCCTTCAGTGCTCCTTCAGAAGCTCTGACCCCCAAATTTGCGCATTGCAAACGACACTTTTTAGATCTCTGTGGCCATAAAACCCCTCGCAAACGTTGTTCAGACAAATGCCATGATATAACGTTAGAGCGAACAACAACACAGCAAGTAACGTAACTAACGTTAGCTGGGTTGTAGGTTGGCAAACTCACTGCAATCGCTACTGTAAAGCTAATCACAAACATAACCTACCGACCTACTGATTCTGTGAAATAGCTAAAAATAAAATTAATGTTACTCATACCCATCAAGCAGAAACAGAGAAACCTGCAGTGTAAGCTAAGCTAAGATTAGCACTCGGATGCTAACATGCTAACAGAAATGAATCCTCGAAGCTTTGACAACAAACCACAATCATTACAGCTCACGTTCACACAGCGAGTTTACAGCAAGATAGGAGTCAAATATACAGCAAGATAGGAGCCAAAAAAATGTTTTTCATTAGTGAAATAGACATGATGAGGCTAAAGTTGGCTTCCAATTTGCCAGCTTTTTGTTTAAATTTTCCTGTTGGGTACTCCTGTGGAGTAAGTAACTTCAGCCTGCTAAACACATGTGAGTGTGTTACAGGCCAGGTCAATGAGGTGCTTAGCATCTAAAAAAGCTTTTTTTGCATACAGTTACAATAAGAGATCCTGTACCCGAAGTTCATTTAGTGCTTTATTAATCTCTGTGGTTTAGGCATTTGTTATTTAATACACCTACAGAACAATGACTCACTCAAATTATAGTTTACAGCCATATAGTCTCAGATCAGTGAATATGGCGAACATGAAAAGCCCAGCACTCTTACTTTGAGATGGTAGATATAAAATCTCATTAATCATTTATCACACTGTAAAAAAGTGGGGGCAAAAAAACAAATCGAATATTTATTATGTTTAGATACTGTAAGAAGCACATCTAGGGCAAAGCTGGATGTTAAAAATAGTCTAATCTCCATAAGATCAACGAACATGAACATCTTATTTGTAGTGTCTCAAAATAAATTTCATATAAGCAACTTCAAAAATACAAGAATTAAACCCTCCTTGGTTAATATTTCAGTTCTCAACATGTTTACACTCAAACACATTAGGCTTGAATATTTGTAGATGTATATTCACCCTTGATATGCACTTCTGTTCATATCTTAATAAGAACAGTGTAGTGTTGGGTTTTACACAACGTAAGCTTAGATATATGCAGCTTACTGATAATATCATGTGCTTGAGGTTTGTTTGAAATCACTTAAATCTCTTCACATCTATTTCCATACCTGAAGGCTTGCAGTTCATTTATCTAGAATGGGATCTGTAGATAAAGCAGCCCTTTAGCTGAACATAAGCCCACTGTAATTAGCAGCTGGTGGGCTGTGGATGACCTTGTGGAAGCTGTGGAATATGCAGCCATGCAGACAGTTTGTCCTACCTGAGTGATGGCAGAGGACAGGCTCTCTCTCTCCTCCTGTCCTGCTCTCAGTCTCCTTTCCGGGTCCAGGCAGAATTGCATTTCCCTGGCAGGGGTCCCCACATCTGGCAGGCTTGGGTCCCGGAGCTGAACCCACCACAACACAGAACGTATATCTCAGAATATGTTCTAACATGATACGAGATATTTTTACAACCTAAACTTCACCCTCTTCTTGTGAGCAAATGCCATCTTATCATTACTGTCTTTAACAGCCTATAATCTATTAGTCTAACGTCATATTGTTGTTGTAGTGGTCTGCCATTAATATTTGCCAAGAATTTTCAGTCATAATTGTGCTTTGCTAATGTTAGCACTATTAACTAAGTTAAACGATTAAGGCTCTAACTAACTAGGCCGACTGTTTTCTAGCTAGACCCAGATAGCAAGCATGTATCAGTCCGCTGACTTAATAAGGTCAGCACCTACTGACTGTATGCCACTGCTGGTCCACATTCGGACCCCCCAGATTACTGTCCTGCACACAAGGTCTAACAAGTTTTTAATCTCCTCAAACTGATTTTAAATGCACATAACCTTTTATTTTGGAAAATAAACTAACAATTATTACAAACAGTTGAGAAAAAAAATCATGAAAATTATTTTGTTGAAAATGTTGTTGCTGACACTGTGCTGGATTGATTACAGCTGCATAACTGACTTTATTTGTGATATTGCTCTTAAAATTCTTTACTAAAGCAATGTACAATGGACATCAAACGAAGGGAAATAAGTTAACCGGATTGTGAGTGGAAAAGAGACAATAAAAAGTAGCTTTGTCTCTAATACTCTGCTTAACCAACAACTTTGCTGCCCAGAAAATGCTGAGCAAAAAGCTAGTTGGCCACCAGCTTTACCGTTAGCAGGCCAACAGTGGCCCGCTATCCTCTTGCTATCTGGGGACATGCTGTTTTGGAGAGTCTACATTGCTAATGTTAACATCAGTATTGACTATTGGCTAAAAGAGGATTTTCCCCTTACCTCAAATTAATTTTCCCCTTCCGTTTTTTTAGTTTAGCAGTGGAGCTAAGAGGCTGACACTACATGAAACAAAAAAAGATTTTTGGTGACAGACTTCCATTACTTTTTTAGCTATATTAGCCTCATAACTCCAGTGAATAAATTAAAGAAGCAAACTTTTGACACCAAACATGTCTTGGCCAGTCATCTACATTTGAGAAAAGAGGTAAACTGTGCAGATCTGATTTAGCTAGGCTAACAGTGTGACTGTTGGCGAGCCATGCTAATGATTTGGACTCTGAAGGTCACAGTAAATAAACATCTATTTATTGTTGCATTATTTGATGTTATTTAACTTATTTAATAACCCTGAAATAATACATTTATTCTGTGTGCATGACAAACATATTTGGTGGGCACCAAAATGTGGTCACTGTTCAAATATCACTATGCCTATCATGATGGGGACCCCAGAACCAAAAGAGCAGGCCAAAAATGATCTTTTTTCATGATTATCACAAAAAGGTTCTGCTTTGAGGGTATTTTTAAGAGTAAACTGTATTTTGACTTCTTTGACTTCACTGCGTATCAATTACTGTAGCTCTTTTGAATTATTCTCTGTATCTCCAACATATTCATTAAGCTTGCATTTTCTACTTATTGCCAAAATTTGCAAAATCATTTTTCCCTCCTTTAAAATGAATTTAACTGTGAAGTAAGCAGTGGCCTGGTTCTTAGCAGCTGCTCTGTGGGGAGCTGGTGTCCTAATAACATCCTCTCAGGATCCTCAATGTCAGACGCAAACAGACAGAAATGCAGAAGAGCTAATTCGACGTGCCAGTCGAATCCTACAGCCGTGAAACAAGCTTTGATTTTGCCTTCCACAGAAACAGATTTAATTCTCTTTCTTTCTTCTGAAGGAGGAATTTCAGACAGACATAATGTCCCATTGAGTTAGACACATAATGTTCTATGAGTTCAGGCAAATTTGCATGAGAAGCATTAATATGTAGGCTACAGCAAAACAGCACACTTGGCGAGAAGGGTCTAGCCGCAGAGCCGCAGTACTGCACTCTCAGACCCATACTCTCAGCTCTGTTTTTAGAAACCCTTAAACATTATAGCTGAGTCCCAAATGGCTCCTTACTCCCTGCATAGTGCCCTGTGTGAGTTATGTACTTTCGACTCCTACACAAAAATAGTGCAGCACATATCACGAGGGGAATTGTGCACTTGTGGCTGAATCTCAAATGGCTCTTTGTTAGACACATTATGCACTGTTTGGGTGCTGGCATCATTACTTTAAGACCTACGTAGTGCACTACACAGGGAGTAGGGAGTCTTTGCGATTCAGCCTAAGTGATTATGAAATAAAGGAGGTTTGTCGTGCGGTCGAGCTGGAGAGGCTGGCTGTGTGAACAGTGGTGATTTACACCTGTGCTCGCTTAATAGCAGCCTAGGACCAAAATATACTTTAGTACTGAAAGTACCAAAGGTGTTATTATAAATACAAACAGTTTCTCTGTTAGTATGGTTTTTCTCATCTAATCAGAGTAAGGTAGTAGATGTTCAGTCCATTGTTTACTTCCACACTCAGGCATGCTAAAAGTGTGGCTGCGGTTCCTAAACGGAGGTGTAGGGAGCTGAAAGTGCAGGTCTGAAAGTGTCCATGCTAAAGTTGTGGTGCTGCGGCTCTGCAGGTGGATACAACTGCTCTTGGCGCTAACTGGTGCTAACTATGCTTTTTCTTGGCAAGTTTTTCCATGGCACACAGATGTGCTGTTATGTCCCAATACACATACTATACTATAAAATAGAATATATTATATCATTTGATGCATGTAAGACCGTCAAACGTTAAATATTCTTTTTTTTTTTGGTCAAATTTGAATCATAAGCAGTATTTGGTAATACCATAATACAATATAATACAAGCTTTCATCACAAATTTGAGTCAAGATGGCATACTGAGGCAATGTTCAATCTTTAATTGTACGTTATTTCACTCAGTGTATCATGTTTTACTTGTTTCTTTTTTTCTAACATTCATTCAAGAAGGCTGACGGAGGAGATGTAGTGAGTTTTACGTTTCATAAAAGTGTACAGATATAATTTTATTTACAATTTTATAGCCGTAAATAATTTATTTATGATTTCTTAGCTTAGCACTAGGTTCATGTTGTCAAGCTGTATTTGCTGGTTAGTGTTACCAAATCATTGTCCCAACTTGTGTAACATAACTGTGTAACATACTGTGGCATCAGAGCACACTTGTGTTCTGTTTCATTTAAAAATAATAAAGTAACCTTTATTATTCATAAATTCATTGAACCTGTTCATAAATGTTTGTGCAGGATAATTTTAGGTTAGTTCTGCTGCATTTATTATAAGTGTATTCATTGTGGACTCGTTCTGAAGGCTGGAGCTAGGAACTGTCAGGGCTGTGTGTTATAGGAAGCTATAGAGAGCTAGAGCAAGTTAACAGGAAGAACCTGAGAACTGTGTTTATCCCACTTCTGACACCAATGTGACATGAGGGTGTTCTCAGCTTGGACGCATTGAGGTTCTGGTCTATAACTCAGCTTTACGTGATATACTCAGCATACAGAAACAGTAAAAACACAGTTCTCATGCTAGCGCTTGGCTCTTACTGTCAGCTCAATCTTGCTACAGCACACAGCTGCCCTTCAGAATAGTCCACAAAGGATAAACCTAGAGAATAAACCCAGGAGAACTAAAATAGCCTAAAATTAGCATGAACAAACATCCATAAACATGCTACCTTTTATTTTTAGACTAAACAAAACACAGGCATTCTCAACTTTCTTGTATAACTAGGATAATGAGGATTCACTGTTAACTGCTAGCTGGGTATTCAGCTTGCAGTGTTTTACATAAAATTTTGACAAGAACACTGAGCTGAGTAAACCGCTGTCATATTTAGGGAGTGAGAATGATTGATGTCTATCTAAGTAAAGTGTCACAGCCATTTTTGTTTAAGCTAAAATGCTACCTATCTAGCTGTCTATGAAGACAATGGGAAGCAAACTGACTAGGTATCTGACTGGGTAAGTGTGTAATTATAACGGGCCCTGACCATTTAAGTGGTTATACCAAGTGCACTCTACTATTTTAGCACTGGCTAAGTAGAAACCATTCAGTGTTGAATGTGACAGTGTTCTTTTAAATGCTAATCGTGGACTTTTTATGAAATTGCTGAAACATAAATGCAGATTTAACACACAGTACCACACACTTTGTGGTAATTTTCACTTATTAACGTAACAAAAGCCTTTTCAGATACCAGAACCATGAGCGGTAAATGTGAAACATAGTACAAGCTAGCCCAAAATGCCTGTGGTGAATGAGTGGCAAATGAACACAAGTAATGAGAAATCAAAGCGACCTTAAATTAAGAGCAGTGGCTGTGAGTGGAGTGACCTTCACAGACAGAAAGTGCACCACGGATGATGACGTGAGATTGTGTGACCGCCAGTACTGCATAGCAGACTGAGTTGTAATATATATGTTTTCTTTTTTCCTTTTTTTTAAACCTAAACTGGTGTTTTTTAAATGAAAAATTGTTTTTGGATTTGCATCTTTTCTAATATATTAAACTGCTGAACTACCTTGCATTTGCTTCACTGGGTGATATCAAATATATGCATAATAGTGCACAGAATCTTCCTTTTTGGGGGCTTTTTCTAGAATACTTTTAACAAGACCATAATACAACAAGACCCTAAGATAATTTTCTCAATTTAATGACCCAAATGCATTGTGTGTTCTATAATTTGTCTCTCTTTTCCTTTTTGCAAAGATGCATTAGAGAATAAGGTAAAGTTACATTTAATAAACACCACTCAACATAAAAACAAAGCATAAACAATCTCTATCTTGAAATTTGGAGCAAAGAAAACAACATTCTACTTTATATTGCTCTCAGAAGACTTCTTTGCTCCTTGATGCTGTTCTGAATTTAGCATATTTAAGTTATAACGGCCTAAAAAAACTCCTTTTTCGGAAATTCATAGAGGCACTACAGAAGTCAAGCACATGATTAAAAGGCATCAGAGCTATCTGAAGGCTGGGAGGGAGATGGACGAGGCACTGACCTCGGGTCTGAC